TAGTTTAGACCCCAAATGAAAGTTTAATAAACAAAAACTTTAAAAAGAATAATATTGTGTTTCTTTTCCCATTTTGTAGAAATTTGAAGAATCACTCCTTCCACAACATTTATGCTCCAAAAGCTTATTTTTGCTTCTTCTATAAGTAGGAGCCTTCACTTCCGACCCAGTCGCTAGTCCATGTCTTGCTGTTCTTGGGTTTTTTTCACTTACGTCTCTCCATTCTCCTTTTCCCTCTGTCGCCACCCACCTGTATCTCTCATACCCCGAGGTTATATCACGGATAAATTTATTAGAAACCCACCCTTTCTGTTTTCTGTGACTCTGTCTCCACAGACACCCTTGAATTGTTTTTTTAAAGCACGTAATATTTTATCAAACCATCTTCCAAGAAACAGCATCTAAACCTCACTGCTGCTGTAATGTGACGCACCTGTAGGTCTGTATTTAGCACAAAGCCACTTCTGTAATGATACTCTGAAGGCTCCAGTAGCACCGCTGTTCATAAAGATAACACAATCTTCTGTAAAATTTATATACCATTTCCCAAAGTCTTTTTTTAGATTAGACAAAAGCAGAATTGATATTAACACAAAATTCAAATCAACCTAAACGTTAATCTGTCAGTTTTGCAGGAATTTCTCAAGATACGGTAGGAGACCCTGGTTTGACATCGAAAGCCCAGTGTATCGATGTGAGAGAGCCTGCCACCTTGTGGCAGCTGATAGGTGTAGCAGCAAAAAAGTGAAAGTGACGTGATGTGGCCTATAGACCAAAACTGCATATTTGGGCATTGGAACCATTTACGTAGTTGTGTTTGTATGTGTGTGTAAAACTCTAGTTTAGAAGAATCTGCAATGAAAAAACTAAAAATGCAAAAACTCTTGTATTTTGTTTGGTTACTTATGGTTATGGTTTGGGCTGGGTAGGGGTTAAGGTTGTCATAGTTAGCATTAGCATTTTTAATAGAAATGAATGAGCAGCCCCCAAAAAGATGTGATTACACGACTGCGTACGTGTGCGTGTGTTTGGATATGTGTGTGTGTGTGTGTCTGTGTGTGTGTCTGTGTGTGTGTGTGTGTGTGTGTGTGTGTGTGTGTATACCCTGCAATGTCTGGGATAAGCTCCAGACCCCCAGTGGCTCTGTATTGGATAAGCGGAAGATGGGTGATTGTTATTATTATCTCTTGTAGTAATAGTATTGCTTTTTCCCCTTTAATTAGATGGCCCTACTTATGGAGGAAGAGGAACATGGTGGGAGATGGAACAGAGAGGTCTTTGAGTATCGGGAGGATGTAGTCTTGCTCTATGCATTTGTAAAAAATGTAAACAATAATAAAATGGTGTAGAAGAAAAAAGTTTTAGCTATATCTATAAGGCTGTGGCGAGTTTTCAGTAGATGGTACTATGTAGATGAGGAGAATATCCAGTCATATCAAGCCAAGAATTTGCTCTCCATTGGGACCTTTTTAAAATCTGTCGTACCGACACCTTCCATCCAGCTGAGCAACTATTACAGCTGCTGGAATCCCAAGCAGCACAAGTGAAACTAAACATCCTGCTTGAAAGCGAGACAACTTCCTGTTTGCCTGGGTTCATCGCTTGTTTGTCTGTTGCTAACTCATGTTGAAATGCAGACATTAGTCTTCTGGCCAACTCTCAGGAAAGTTTTGTGTGGGCCGTATATAAAGAGACACATAAAACATAACAATAAACATTGGTTAGAAGGTTGTCCTAATAAAAAAAAAAACAGCTTGAATGCTTATTATTATGCTCCGTAGCAGCTGCTGCTGCGTGTTGTTCGGGCTGCAAGATTTGTTTGTCTGGAAGACTAATAATATACATTCAGGGGAAGATCCTGCGTGAGGTTATCTAAATATCCGCTATGTATTTGCGTGGGTCCAGCAGGGGGCGCAAGAGGGAAGCCTACCATTCCGCTTCAGCCGGTAACGCATTATCACAAAAACAGCTATGGCAATTGAATGAGGAATAACATCATTTTTCAGGAAAATTATTGTAATTATCCACCCATCTCCACTTATTTAGCACAGAGCCAGATTTCAGGCAGCCTTCAGATCCTATATCACTCCTATGCAGCTCTAAGGAACCAGGCATATATTTTCTTAGGTATAGAAGCATTCATTGTGCACCGTTTGACCGCTTGCTGTTGTCTAGCCAGGCCACATCCAATGCATGTATATTTACTGATTCATCAGAGCTGCTATTCCAAATCATGTCCCTTTTCTAATCAGCCGGGATGGCATCTTGTCCTTAGAGACCCCCAATGAGTTTTACTGGGGGGATCCAGGGGTGATTCTATGACTTTTGACATTTGGGGAAATAAAGAAGGACCAACCTTATCATTAGCCAATCATATGTTTTGAATTGCTGTGTGACGCTGGAGGGGTCACAGTGGGGGCCAATCAGCTTTCAGCTGGGGAAAGTGCCCCTGTTGGATCACAAAATGATGTTTTCCGCATTGTTTATTATTAGTTTCAATGTAACGACTGTATCTGCAGTAATGATCTTATGGTAACTCGTGCTTCAACAAGAGAAACATTTGGTCAGTTGTAAATAAGCAGAAATTTCTGGAAAGGACACATACTTGATTTTAAGTGGGCTGGCTGGACCAATATACCCCTCTCTAAGGTCTCTCTATAGTATGAGGTGTCGACCTGTATTTGCAGATATCAATCAACCGGACACTCACTCAGAAAAAACCTTTGCCATTTTTGTAGCCCCCTGGTGGTGGTTCAGCTATACTGCATGGAACGTACCAGCTAATACATGCACACTTGACTGTGATACCTGTAAGCTGTATATTATTCATGAGACAATTTTTACATTTTAATTTAAAATGCATATCTCATCCCCGACCACTGGAATGGCATGTTCTGGTTCTCCCATGACCATCTGCTCTCTTGAGCTGGAGGTTTTGTCCTAGAAATATGTAGTGCATGATGTCTTTTTTTTTTCTTTTTCCCCCCAAGGTATCAGTACATTAATAAAAAAAGTAGCTCTTTTGTTTCTTCCAGCCAAGGGGTTCCAGTTGTGCTCAGTTAAGTTCATTGAGATTTTTCAGCTATTCGGGTAAAACTGCAAAGTTGCCGCTAATTCCGAGAAGCTGGCTAACTGTGACGGTTATTTTTACGGGACGCGAATAAACAGGGAAACTTTTGGTCAACTTAGCGGACTGGGAGACATGACTGGTGGGAGGAAGCCGTCTTACTGGGATGTGATTTATGCCTCCATGCGCACTGCACACACGCGAGGAGTCACTGCGCCGCCAAGATGCAGCAAATCATCACCAGATAATGTTATTGTGGCGCTCGGCTCAGCTGGGTCACAGTGAGCACGTGGGCAGCCTGAACGATGCCTTTGAGTTCAGTGCAAATTATTATCCCTCTATTAAGTGAAATGATCATTTTGAGATGTAATCTTACATGGAAAATGTTTTTTTTTTATCACATTTTTATTCAGAGATATTCAGTGGTTCTCATCCCAGCCCCCCCATTCATAATTCGCCTCTATTCCACCACCTGCGTGCCTCAGCTAGGAACTCAAGGGCTTTATAGTTGGCTGACAAGTAAAATCAAGTGTGCAGGTGGTGCAACTGACCGAAAGCATGGACTGGCCGGGAGCAGGCGGGCACAGCCTCAATCATGTCATATTTGGGGATTAAAAATTGTCTTTATTTTGTGAATTCCTATTAAACATGAACTTTCAGATGATTGCATCCACTTTCATTGTCGGTCCCATCCGTGGTCTTCGTGGTCCTCAAACAAAATTTGCATTTTTTTTTCCAAACAGGTGCTGCCCAAAGTCAGATACAGAACTGGTGTAATTATTTAACACTGACTGTCAGCGGAAAAGTACAGCAAGGAGCAGAGCAACCAGGTTTAAACTGACCGATTGAAAGTTTTCTTTTTTTCAACAGGATGAGAAAAGGAAAGTGTACTGTGTACTGGAGTAAAGTGACTTAAGTGCAACCGGAGAATAATACAAAAACTGTTATAGTGATTGAGGGATATCACTCAGTTTCCAACATTCTGTGGAGACAGACTTACATAAATATACAGCTCTGAAAAAAAATGATACTCAGCACAATTTTTTGTTTCATTTCTCAATTTATTGTGCATCTGTGAATAATATATATATATATATATGTAGCCTCTTTCTCATTAATGAAGGGCTTCTTCCTTGCTTTATAGGAATTCAGTCCTGCTTCTAGGACTCTGAAACACACTGTCCTAGCAGTGCACTTCACACCTGCACTTAATGTTTCCCATTCCCTTTGAACGGCATTTGCTGTCAACCTCTAATTCTCTGTGAGAAGCTGTCAAATAAGTAAACAGTCATCTCTGCCATTAGAAAGTCGCTTCCGCCTGCAATTGCTATTCATAAATAATTGGCTGTTACTTCACCGTAGTCTGGGTCCCAGATAACTGATTATGGATGGATGAACATATTGAAAGTAGTTAGGAGCTATAAAACACTTTTCACATATGGTACTTTCTGACAGCTGATTGTTCGTAAGCTGACTTGAAGTCCAGCATTTGACGTCAATGTTGTGTTTTAATACTTCAGTAATACCTAGTTCTTGCATCCTCTGTGTCCTTAATTGTTCTCACACATGCCTGATGAGTTCCTCGACAGCATTTTTAAGAAACATTCTCAATATTGTTCCTAGTTTTGGGTGCTGCCTTGGTTCAGCACCTTTTTTGAGAACATCTGTATTTTTCCAAAATAATTCTATTCTCAACAGAAGTCCAGAGATTAAGAATTAAAAAACAGCTAAACAATCATGCTAAGGTACAGTGTCTTAATCTCACACTGTAGTTATACACTTGTACACATCTGCGCTAATCCCTAACCGTCCTGGCACTCTGCTCCCCGCCCAGTCGGGTAATCTGCCTCTCCGTGCATCATGCTACATGTCCGGCTTGACATAATACATATCTATATGTTATGCTACCTAATCTTGCTGATATTGCCCTTCCCTGTGTGCTCCCCCTCCTGCCTCAAGTTATGCACAGCTCTGTGCTAGCTACCTAATCTGGTATCACACACCATTTTATGTGTCTACCTGTCTTATGTCACTTTTTGCTATGCTACCTGGTTGAATTATATACCTCTCAGTGCTATACCATCTGCTGTGACAGGCACCATACATCTCTTTCCACTATATTACCACTTCTCTGTACTATGTTACCTGTGCTGACTGGTATTATACGCCTCTCTGTGCCACACTACCTGTCCTGATTCATCTGAATGCTGTTATTCCTCTCCTGCAGCATCACATCAATGTTGCCATGTGATTCCACATTACAGGTAGTGTGTGCACACAGGAATACCATTTCTCCAGTAGGGGCCACTGTGGAGCTACTGATGTAGGGGTCTTGGCTCTTGCAGCGCAGCAGCTGTTCATAGGCGTTGCGGAAGTCTCGGTTTAGAGCCGCGTACAGGACAGGGTTAATGGCGGAGTTAAGGTAGCCCAGCCACAGGACCACCGAGTTGACAGTGGGGTTGACCGTTTCCTCGTATAGCCCTCTGTAGGTGAAGTACGTGAAGTACGGAAACCAGCAGATGATGAAGGCGCCCAGGATTCCTGCCAGCGTCATCGTGGCCTTGTGCTCGCGCACCGCGGCTGCCACGCACGCGGACGTGGGCCGCGCGTTGATGCGCTTCGCCTGCTCGCGCGCGATCCTGAAGATGCGGTAATAGGTGCAGCACATGACCAGCAGGGGGAGGTAGAATGTGGCAAAGGCGTCCACCAGCACATAGCTGGGGTTCAGCTCGAAATGGCATTCCCGGCCGTCGTCCTGGCCGTAGTTCTGGATGCTGTGGTCCCGCGTGTTCCAGCCCAGGTGGATAGGCAGGAAGGACACCATCAGGGAGATGATCCAGATGAGGGCCATGGCCACCATGATGCGGGTGCTCGTGACCATGGTTGGGTAGCGCAGCGGCGCAGTGATGGCGAAGTAGCGGTCCACGCTGATGACGAGCAGGTTGAGGATGGAGGCGGTGCACAGCATGACGTCCAGGCTGACATAGACGTTGCAGAACATGGCGCCCAGAGGCCAGTCGCCGCGCAGTTGCCTCATGGCGGAAAAGGGAAGCACAAGCAGCCCCAGGAGGAGGTCCGTCGTCGCCAGCGACACCACCAGCCCGTTGGTGACGCAGCGCAGCTTGCGGCAGGCGCCCACCGCCAGGCACACCAGCACGTTACCAAACACCGTCAGAAATATGACGAGCACCAAGCCCACACCCTGCAGGATCCTCCAGATCATGTTGAGGTGCTTTGTCACACAGCTAACTCATAACCTCTACTCACCTGGGATCGTGGCCAAACACCGATTTACTGTCAGTGACCCCGTCTGGGGAATGGTACACTCCGCACCCCTGTCAGTGGGTTGGTACAGTCCATACCCTGTCTGTGCAGCGAACTGGTCAATCACCGTTTTCTCTGGAATGGTACAGTCAACATCATTGTCATTGAGCTGAGACGCAGTGAAAAATTCATCATTTCGAGTAACGGTTCCTCATCGCACCCGTGTCACAGAGGTGGCATATTCTCGACCCACATTCCATCGCTGAAGTTAAGAAAAGACTTTGGGCTTTGGATAAATCCCTTACTTTGTTGTTATGCGCTTTCTGTGTAAATGTTTGCGTTGGATTTAGCTGCCACAAGGGGGCTCCAGTGCTTCAGCCGTAGACAGCTGCTTCAAAGATACTTCACGTTTCTTGAGGGTACAGCTCAAAGGAGGCCGGGCTGGGGATAAAGAGAAGAGGGAGAGGTAAAGGACCCAGACAGAGGCAGCAGGGACCTTGTGAATTATGGGATTTCTATTTTAAAGTTTGGTTACTTTTGTTTTACCATCAGCCTGGTAAGGATTTGGAGAATTATGTCAGATTACACTGCTGACGGGGGCCGAGAGTTCTTCACCCTGTTTATGGAGGGTGAGGGTCTCTAACTTTGTTTATGGAGATCCTGGCTCCTTTTATAGTGTTTGGATGATCAGTGTTGGTGCATTAAGATTCAGTTATCACACATTTTATGGGCAAGTTCATGGCTTTTTTCACCATATCAAGGAAGGTTTGGATACTTCACATTTTGCAGGACATTTATGGTCTCTCACATTCTTGTAGGAAGTACCGCTCTGTAGAAGAGAGATTGGGGTCCTGCACTGCAGAATGACCAGGGCAAGAAGGGCAGTCCACCACTGCATGTTTACTCCCCGCTATCCCCCGGGGCCAGGCCTTAATGGAACACCTGGACAAACTCCAAAACTACAATGTGAAAGGGGCCACGAGGCCGTTTTCGCACATGCAATCTTATCAGTGCGACTAACTGGATGGTGTATTAAGTACTCTGCCAGTTTGCCTCCAACCTACAGAACAAAGAATGAGGAAAAGACGGCATGCAGCTTTGTATGGTAGCTCAAGATATAATCCGGGCTGATCCCTGAATGTCCAAAAGAGGTAGAGAAATATTTAGAGCATAAAGAGAAGCAAATATCTGTGTTAGTGCACTGACAAACTGCGACTCGAAATGCACTGCCTGTCCATCTGGCTGGACATCTGTTTATTTTACCAGACGTTTGATTATCTAAAATTGTGGGGAGGGGAAAATTGTTACTTAATGCTCGTGTGTATGTTTCATCTCTTCACGTCCCATCACATATCATTATATATGATCTCATCTCATTTTCCCTCCACTTTTCCTGGTGAGGGTGGCAACAAGCTGAGTAGGTCAGACTAGAGCTATTTTTCAGTGGCCATAGGCTCTATGAGTTACGAGCTTTATCCCTGCGGGCGTGGGGTAGAGAGCCCAACCATTCATTCACCCAGATAAAAAAAATAGTACAGAAATAATAATAAACAAAATAGCATATACATTTCCAATAAATTATTATTACACACTGACATGATTAATACAAGCCACATTTTCAAATATAAATTTACAATTAAATTTTATTGAACTTAGTATGTGCAAATAACTTTCTCGTCTGACCAGTAGGGGGTGCAATTGCACCCTCTGTACCCCGGGTAAATTACCTATCCTACCTCATTCTGGGCAGGGTCCTGCGATGTTCCCAAGCCACCATGAATATATAATCCCTCCAGCGTGTGCTGGGTCTGTTCTGGGGCCTCCGCCCAGTAGGACGGGCCGGGAGCAGGTCCTTTGAAAGCTGACCAAGTAGCATCTGTAATAGATGCTCAAACCACCTCAGCTGGCTACTTTTGATCTGAAGCAACACCAGCCCCATTTTGAAGTCCCTTGGGTTTCCAAAACCCCTCGCCCTGTCACGCAGAGTGAATCTGACAACCTCGTTTTGGTTGCTTCACCTTGCTGCTAGTCATTACCCCCAGCACATAACCATAGGTGAAGACCTGGACGCGGATTATCTGGGTCTTATCTTTTTAAATCGAGAAGACGCTCTTCTAAAAGTTTAAAAGTCTCTCCCGGGATGTATACTTAACATTTTGAAAGCACAGGATACTTTTCCCTTTGTTCTGGCAGGCAGAAAAGCTTTCTTGTATTGACACATACACTTACACACGTAGAAATACGCACACAAAGGCTATTTTCCTGGCTGAGGAAACTTCTCCCCTATATGTTCAATAAGTCAAGTGTTAAATCAAACAGTCTGAGAGTAAATAGCTGTTTGGTTTGTGTATCTACCTCAAGGGTAGATAAAGGCGTGGGGGCAATTCCTCATACCTTTTCCACCCTTGGCTGAGTGTAACAGAGTGGGGGAGTATCGAGGCAAGGTCAGACCTCTGAAACACTGTTACTGGGGATGATAACTTAGCATGGATGACCAGGTTTTACACTCCATAATGAGTAAAGATCACACGACAGGAAATAGTCCAACTAATACCTTGTCTAACTGCCCACCATATAGCCAGTTAGCCTATGTGCCATGTCATTGGATAGCTTGCCTGTTAATTTATCCTGATAGTTCGATATTTCCATACAGTGATTGACTGTGTTTATCAATCTCACTGCGGTTTGTGGTGAAAACGAAATGCTATTCTACTGGGAGTAAAATCTGAATGTTTTATTTTCTGACCTGGATTTTAAATCTAATCTGCACTTTCTTTAGCTACAGTTTCTGTTCCTGCTCTGGCTTTCTGTGTCACTAAACATTCAAGGAACATTCAGTGGCCTTTTTTAAAACTTTTTTTCCTTGGCTAAACCCAACATACTGACTATGTGCACTATAATTGGCAGAGTTCACTGTATTGACCAATCTGCTGGGCTAAATTGGGGTGCCATATTGGGTAATCTTGGATTCTTTATTTGGTACTGAAGCTTCTGAGCTGCCCCGTTGGTCAGTGCATTGGAGGTTGCCTAGTTACTATACATTTTGGCCTATTGAGAGATAGCACTGCCTGCTTTGGAATTCTAATGAGGTGCAAAGAAGTACTCTCACCCTCCAGCAGAACGTACTCACATACTCATGTGAGGAACACACACCACAGATACTACTCACACTTAGTAATACACAGATTTGTGTATTTGCATAGGACACTCATTCATTCATAGACATGCATATTAAAATCCACCAATACCAACCCAAACATGCTTTCATTGACTAATAAGCATGCAAACTTAAGCACCTGTGAATGTTTAGTCCAGTTTCCCTCTCAGGAATGTTTTTAATAAACATACGGTTCGTACGTTGAAAATGAAAGTGATGCTCAGTGAAGCCCATCTCAACCCTGTGGAGTTTTGTATTTACGATTACACACATTTTTCGTTGGAGGAAAGGCCTGTCAAACAGATCAATGTAAATGTGTTTTGGGTGGTGTTCTAGGTCTGTGAGAACTGCAGCGGAGAATCCTCCCATTGTTTGCCATGTGGTAAGGAATGCCGCCTACGTGTACTGTACTGAGCAATCCCCCTGTCTGTGTCTACTGTACTGGAAAACACTCTCTGTTCTGTAGTGAGTAATCCTCCCTCTGAGAGTTACGTAGTGAGGAATCCTCACTCTGTATTGTAGTGAGTAATTGTGTGTCTGTGTGTGTACTCTAGTGAGAAACCCTCTCTCTGTGTCCTGCAGTGAGAACTATCAGCTATAGCCTACAGTGTATCCTTTTGCTTCCGGAATATGCAGATAGAAGAGCTAGACTCAATAGAACCCAAAACCCTCCAAAATGCTTAATTCACCCATACCCCTCTTTAATGTAGCTGCTAAGAGTTTGTGTTTTTTTAAGCCGTCAAACACTTTGAGTCAAGCCATGGAGCCAACTTTTTGTAGGTTTTTTTGTAGCTTGTTATGGAAAAAGACCTGGGATTTCCTTCACACACAGACACACACACACACACACACACACACAGACACAGACACGCACAGAGAGACACACACACATATATATATGTGGTGGGTACTAAATTTTTTTCATTCCCACACAATCAATAAAACCTTTTGCTTTTACACTTTTAGCAGTGAAAACAATTCCTGGCCCCTCATGCTTTTGGAAGGTCATCGTTTGAATTCAGAATGCCAATCATTACCTCAATACCATAGTCAATGAATTATTAAAGAACATATAGATGTAAAAAAAAAAGAAATTCTCAGAGAAACTCACCTCAGTTGTCTGTCCATCAGGCAATCAGACTCAACTCTGAACCCCAGTAGTTCAATCCAGATTATTCATTTGATTGTATCCTGTGCCTGGAAGGTCTTTACTCTCTCTGTCTCATTGCCAGTTTCCCTTTTTTTCTCTATATCTCCCCCCTCCCCATCTCCCTTTCTTATCCCCTTCCTCCCTTGTGTCTTGGCCTCCTTCTCGTTGGCTCTGTGTGTCTTTCTCCCTCTTTCCCTCCTCTCTTTCTCTGTTGCCTTATCTCCTTCCTACCCTCTCTCACTCTCGGCTCCCTTTCTTTTAACTCACTCTCCCTGCCCCCTCCCACCCATCAGCCACTTTCTGTTTTAAAATGCGCATGCAGAAGCACATGCACACTCAGACGGAGACGCACACGTGGTCTGCAGAGGGGACAGGCCAAAGCCTCAGCTTCCCATAGTTCAAAGATCTTCAACCTACACCCTACTCCCAAGCATTGGCCGGTCCGTTCTCCCCAAGAATAGAAGATGAATGACTTAAACTAAATATAAGACTTACTGTGTCCTCTCATGCTGAAAGTGCAGTAGTTGCAGTAGACTGGGTATGTTCCCATGCACGATTCTGCCGAGGTAAATCTGACGGCATCTCTGCATGATTTATGTGGGAAAAAACTCGATTCTTCTCTTGTGAGCCTTTCAGGATGATGATGTGAACGGAGACAGCAGCCGTTTCTATTGGCTGTCAAGGTCAATCTGTGAGAAGCCCCGCCCAGAAATAGCTGTTCGTTTATCTTGCTTGTATGCTGCTCTGGGGAACGGCGCTCAGTGTTATGAAGCTCATTTCAGACCAGGGGGAAAAGAGAAAATGGCGTAGCGTATAGTGAAAAAGAAAGGCTAGAGATAACCAGCAATCAGTAATGAGTGCAATTCTAGAAAAAACCTCAAATTCTCGTAGAGAAACGATGGGAAAGACATGAGGAATGGCTTTCCACGGAGGTGCCATCAACTCGATCCAATCAGCTCGACTGCTAATACGCAAAGACGACAATTAGTCACAGTGGCAGTCAGACCCTCTGCCAATCAGCAAGCTGCCAATTAGACAGACCCTGGCGTGACACACCATAGCGGCGCTCCAGAGAGCCCCTTCTATCACCGGCGTCGCTATTTAACAGGTGGTGTTATCGCGTGCCTCTGATTTACTGCGTCACTCTACCTGATAATTCTGTTCTCTCATGTTCCCTGTTTATTAATGCTTGATTCCCACATTAGATTGCATTATCTAAACCGAGTTATCGGAGATGTTTTCTAACCTGCCGGCTCCGTTACCACTTTGAGAGCCTATGAATTTCTACTTAGTCACAATGTTAGAATTTTTACAACTTTAGAAAACAAGCAGGATATTCACTTGCACTGCCATTTCTGGATAGCTCTTCGTCCAGGTTTTTATCACACCCTCGACCTACTGTAACATCCATCCCACCTGCCTCTTGGCATCAACAGCAGCTCTCCCAGACTTTTGTAGAATATAGACACACGTGTGACTGTGTCCCTCTGTTGATTTTGACTAGGGTTGAGTTCAAGACTTTATAGACTATCGATAAACAATTGACATCCATCCATCCGAACCTGCGTAGGATAGTTCAGGTGCAGAAAGTAAAAATCCAGACCAAGATTTTGTTTCAACCAACCAATTGAGTATAAGTCACAGAGTACTATACTGGTTGGTTGAAACAAAGTCTTGGTCTGGATTTTTACTTTTTGGACCTGAACTATCCAACTCTGCATCCGACCATCTTCTATAGCCACTATTGAAGGACCATCACAGGACACAGTCACACACTGAGAACAGCACTGAGAAGCTGAATCAGCTAAGCACACGATTTGGTAAAGCAGAGCACCTGGATTGAAGGTGTGGAGAACAAGCAGAGTCCTCACACACAGTACTGGAGCCGGGATTTAAATACACAACCCCTGAGGCGAAAGGTGCACTGCAGACTGAGCCAGCAATGCCTTCCAATGAAGCTTAATATCGCCAGAATGTTATTAAATCCAGCACTCCAGTAAGACCACTCAAGTCAGTAGCTTCTTGGAGATTGACATGATTTCTGTCTACACCCCAGTGCATTAGTGAATATTTTATCAATGTGAAATCCATGGTAAATTTATAAATTTCACAACACTTTGGAAGCCCTTATCTGAGAGCAATGCTCGTCACATTGAGTGTCTGTGACAGGACTTAGGCTGGGCAGGGATTATTATTCCCCTTATACAGAGCTCCTAGAGTCACTGTTAGACCTTTGGGAGTTTATTGAGCATTATCACCCTGGCAGATATGGCCTGGATGGGTGGCCACTAGACCAAGCTCTATTACTGAGTGCTAGAGAATGGCTACTTCAATTGATCTTATTAAGATGGCCCACATCTTGTTCATACACACACTAATAGAAATGAAAATACAGTATCTGATAGCCATATAGCTTTTTAAAAATTCCACGCAGGACTGGCATCCTGCCCAGGGTGTACCTGTGCCCTGTTCGGGGTAAGCAGTTTGAAGATGGATGGATGGAACACTGCAGCTTCTTTTGAATGACTGCCTTCGCAATGCCTAATTTAGGCAAGTATATCATACAGTGTCTATGACCCTCATAGATGTTTTCAAGACGTTTTGAAACTGGAAATATTAAAGAATTCAGATGAGTTTTTTTTTTTAATTTATACATCCCCACACTTCAAAGAAAAATACGATTTTTATCGGAAACAACATACAACAAACCAACCATAATTAGTCCTATGGACCTTTCGGGGCAAGCGACAGATTATCAGTCAAATTTTTACCCAGGCTGACTGGCTTCAAGGCTCCACTATCAGCTTGTCATAATCCTGCCAAAAGTCAGACATCTCTATCCTGCTCCTCGGTTTTTCAAAATGATAATTTCCTGAAGTAAACAGCGTTAATTCCATTAACGAGAAGCATCCCAAGCCTCGATTCCTCATGATACGATGTTTCCACCTCCGTGCTTTATAATACGGCCATTATCACATTAGTCTTTCCGCTTTCAGGGAGGAAATGGTTTCCTTCTTGGTACTCCCACATTTTTGGGGAGTACAGTTTGAGGATTAGTTTTACTCACATCCCAACCTTGGAACAATGTTGGTCTCAGTCATTGACTTCCCTGTTCACTGTCCTTCTTACCTCGCCACCCCAATTGGGAGCAGGCCGGGTCTGTAGTCTCTCAGCAGCACAGAGCATTTTTCAGTTCACAGCTTCTCTTGAAGGAACATTCAGTGCCTTTGACATTATTCCCTGATCTCGGAGTTGTCACATTAATACCCACGTTGTCCTTTGACTTTCTTGGTTAACAGTTTATCACTCAACTCCAGGATCATAGTGAGGCCGTTTAGTTATGTCACTCACTTTTATTTCAGTGGCAGAAGCAGTGGCAGATCATAGCAAGGGCACCTCTTCTGAGGGGGCAGTATCTTCCACCAAACCGTGTCCCCTTGAGTGACAGCCTGGGCTCTGGTGGTAAAGCCTGCCTAGGATGCCACATGGACTTCGACTGCCACAGCCGAAAAGGGACAATTCATTTCTTAACACCTATGCAAAGCAAATTAACACTGGTAAGTATTGTTTTTTTGCTGATTTGGTATTGTAACTGGGTGGCACAGTGGTTAGTGCTGCTGCCTCGCAGCCAAAAGGTGGTGGGTTCAGTCCTTGGGTTGGGTGTAGGACCTTCCTGTGTGGAGTTTGCATTCTCCTCCCCATGTTTATGTGGGTTTCCACCAGGGGCTCTGTTTTCCTCTTTCGGTCCAAAAGCGTTGAGGGCAGGTTGATTGGTGAGTCTAAATTGGCCCTGTGGTGTGTTGACGGCTGCCCAGGGTTGGTTCCTGCTTGCATCCCCTTGTTCCCTGGATAGACTTCAGTCCCCCCCATGACCCCAGTTGGGATTAAGTGGTTACAGTGATGGATGGATGGTATTGCAACATAACCAGAAAAGTGTGATTCTACTAGCCTGATGCCTCTCTGGGTGTTCTTATTTTGCATTTTTGGTCCTTGATAGTCTTATTAGGTTTTTGCTTTGTTAGATGATGTTGTGTAGCTCCTGCTCCAATACTGCTTACACTTGTACTTGGGCGTTCATTGGAATCTCAGGCTAGGTGCATTTATGCCTAGTTGACTCCGTAACAGCACATATGGCTGCAACATGCCATTATTAATGAAATGTGAATGCAAAAGTTAATAATAACTTTATACTTCTGTATGCAGTACAATAGACCTTTTGCTAATGATATGATTGGATTGACAGAATAATATACAGTATATTACCAAGCAATTTTAGCAGCATATTTGAAATTTCTGTTTAGATGCATTTAGTTTGGGGGATTTTTGGGTCCGTTTCAAACCTCTACCTAGGAAATGGCGAGCAGAATGTTTTTGTCAGAAGGCAGTGGTTACGCTGACCCAGTATACATTGCGGCAGGGGATCTTGGGCGGTGTGAGACGGAGACACCAATGATGAAATGCAGTACCGTCACTTGTAAAGAGGCAGGGCGGTGATTTAAACAGCAGACGAAGGGGAAGGAAGGAGAGAGGGAGGAGCAAAAATACAGAAGTGAGTGAACAGCAGAAGCTGTCACTCAGTGAGCCGGAAAGCGACACAAAACGAGAGGTAGGGGGAGACAGTGACAGAGGGCGACAAGGAAACTGCGTGGAACCAGGTGAAGGCCCAGCTTTCATTATGGCACCTTGGACGAAGACCACCACGGAGAGATATGGCGTAGGTAAGGTGGTCTCCGTTATCGGCCCGAGCTGTGCCTGTTCTGCAGAGGCTACACCTTGTTATACTTCCTGTTAAACAGGATGTGGGTAGATGGAGGCCAACGGATCAGTGTCTTCAGAATCATGTTTGCAAAGATGATAAAGATTGTTAAATCGGTATTAAACGTGCAAAAAAATATGCATCAACTTCACATGATGGGCAAACAAAAAAAAAGCTCCAGTAGAGAAATGGCTCCGCGCCAAGTTTGAATCAAGGATGTGACGAGACTTAAGAACAGGAACACGGAAGGGATAAACTAGGTGTAAACTAGACTATAGCTAGTCCACAGACGTGGGTAATCCATGGATAGCACAATTAGACCAGAGCAACACCACCACCGACTTAAGGAGAGCTTGGAGGAATTCTGGAGCAATGAGCAGGGATCTGCAGGGACGTAGCTAGAGGCAAGATCACGAAAACCCGTCCTGTCACAGAAGTTAGCTGGGCTGCAGACCAAACGCTTTGGCCCCAAGAACATGTGTCTACCTGTACTAGGCTGAAGGAAATTCAATATTAATCATGTTATTTAAAATATTTAACTGGACCATCCCAGCCAGTGTAACCCCTACCTGCTCCCCAGTCTTTCCTGTGTTAGACTGACACCAGATTGACTATGACCCTGGACTAGATAAGTGATTATGGGGGTAAGGATTTTATTGGGCACTGTGATAAAAATAATGAATAATCTTATAATAATTCATAAAATCAAGTAAGAGAATTGGGAGCTGAGATGAAGAGACATTAATTCTGAAGATCGTTAGTCCTGGTGCTTGTGCAGATGAGAAATTATTAATCTTTTCTGCGTCGGACTTGTGCTAAAAACTTGGAGCAGTTCATTCAAAGTGCAGAGAAATGCAGTTCGGAGATCAATCTCCTTTGTGTTTGTTTTGTTTTCATTGCAGATTTTATTGTAAAAAACAAATTGCCGCTGTAATCGAAGCCAGAATACTTATAAAGCATGAAATATTTTCCAAGCGAAAATATTCAAGGTGTAATTATGATACTTAGAGTAAATGTAAATTCTACTCTGTGCTCATATTCATTGCCTATTCAGGAACGAGCAAATGCTCATAAGATCAGTAGCTTAAAAGGTATTGACCCAGCCGTTACAACACTGATCCATTCATTTCTGTAACCATAGAGAGATGTGTTAATAAGGAGCCTGTATAGTAAGGCATGAGGTAGGAAATAACCACAGGTCACAGCACAGGTCACAGCACAGGTCACAGCACAGGTATACATAAGGAACCAGGCCAGGGACTGTGAGGAGAAACATAAACAAACTGTAGCAACCTGCATGCACAGTTAGCATTCCCAGACCCTGATCGCTCTGGCCTCTGCACACATCTCTGTGGCATATTAACCTTGTTTTTCCACACCCAGAGTTTGTGTATCTGAAAGGTATTCCAGTGTGCTTATGAAGAGTTCAATAAGTCTGATACTAGCCTGTTTAAAGTTATTTCTTCCTGCCAGAATCTCTTTGTATGCCCAGTGAATCAGATGTATTGTGTCAAGTGTAACCTACACAGTTGTAATATGTAAGGCAGTTGAGTTAGCTTTGTATCATTAAAAACATGGAACAAAAATATTGATGAAGTACGGTCATACTGTGTGTTTTCTTTCATGTTGGTGCTGAGTGGCTTTGAGCAGAGTCACACACAGTGTGATTTTAGTGACATTCCCTGGACTGGTTCGGTCTAACCTTGGAGCTGCTCTGGTTCCTCTGCACACCAGTGCGCGCGTGGAACCGTTTGCTGGGAGGGCAGCGCAGGGGTCTGGTGCTGCTCCGCTCGATTTATCCAGTCGCTCCGCGTGAAATGTGCACGGGGCGACACTGCGGAGGGCTGTTCGCCGTGTGAGTGGGAATAAAAGCGAATGGGGGCCATGTTCACATGCACCTCAGGGGCTTGGGAGGGAAATTTGCCTTCTGCTGCCCGTATTTGCAGCAGCATTTTGGAGCGTTTCCCCGGCTGGTCTGTAAAGCTGCCTCATGCAGAAACAATTTTTATAAGTTTGACTTCGCCTTGTTCGATTATAACTATTTTGAGGTGTAGTACACCGAAATTGCACTGAATATTAACTACATACACAAACCACTGGCGAGTATTTGATACATACTGATCCTTTCAGGTTTTCTTTCCAGTGATTAACTGCTTTTTTCTCTTTTAAAATAGACACAGTGTGTTAAGGCTGGAGTTTCCATTACTGACCCTATAGGGTGACTAACCCACTGGCCATTCAGAGAGTAGGACACCTTGATGCTAGAGTACTTTGTTCAGGAACAACATCACTGTATCAAACTGGGAAGAAATTGGTATGAAAAGATAACTGGGAGATATAAACTTTAACATTGGGTCTTCAGTTTTACTGTGTTGGCATATTATTTTTATAATTCATAGCATTATTTTGGCATTAGGATTAAAAATAGCATCATTATTTTGGCAATTTTTTACTCATTGTTTACGTGTGTGGTAAAAATGAAGCCTTGTTTTCTAACCTGCTTAAAGACTGAAGCATGACTTTTAAGACATCTTGCATTTCCTGATTTTCTCTGATTTCACATTGATATACTGATTATCTTCATTGTTGTCACTGTGGAAATGTTTCAGAGATAGAGATTCACATCAAATGTGGAGTCTAGGCGGATTTATTTTGGGCTGTCGCTTTTATGTTGCGTACCGTTTGAAGCCGATCTGCTGAATAACGCGGAAGTGAAGGCGAAGGAAGTTACCAATCAGCCCCCATCCCCCCTCCAGTCCGTACCGCAGAGTCTGAATGCGGCGTTTGCACAGGCGGCGTGGGGTCAGTCTGGCCACCTCTGCCGCGCCGCTCCATGCGAAAAATGACTCATTCGGGTCTGCATTTAGACTGGTAGTTAGAATTAGGCATTAGCTAACGTGCCATTTGTCACCACACTTTCTGCAGTATCTCCGCAAACCGAACTTGTTTGCATTTGTAAAAAAAAAAAACATAATAATAATATAAAAAATAATGATAATAAAAAACAGATAGTGTGTAATATAAGAGACATGATTTTGCGATTGTGTTTCAAAGTATGAACAAATTGCCATTCAGGGCATAACGTGTATAGCGATCTCGGTGTTAAAGATCAGTGCATGAAACCCTGTCCCCTTCAGGCAGGTTAATAAATAAGGAATAAATGCAACCAGTTGTAGTTATAAGGCAGGGAAAGAGTGGAGAACTTCAACCTGGAGACACACAAAACATTTCTCTCTCTCTCTCTCTCTCTCTCTCTCTCTCTCTCTCTCTCTCCCAGTTAAATGGAATTACAAAGCAAGTGGAGAGAAGCACCTATCTCTGGAGGTTGGGGATACAGTTCAGATACAGGAGTCATGTGAAGGTAACCTGCGAAAAAGATGAGCAGATGAAATGGGCAATTTCAAGCAGTAGATTTAAAATGTTGTTCTAAATGTCTCCTCAGTCCTTTAATACTCTGAAATACTGCACAACATTACTGTGATCGTTTTCCTATAATATATATTTTATATCTATTATTATATAGTATTATTAATAATTTACAGTTCATTATATAGTATCATTTATTATTTATAGGTGTGTAGAGATTCCAGTGTTTGGGGTGCAGGTTTTTTCATTAAAAGAGACCATTGCTATTGCAGGCTGGTTCAGGGGTCACCTGACCAAAGACAAGATGCGACAGGTGAGCTCATAAGCGCATGCGTTTGGCCAGTGATGATGCTGCCCAGTGGGAACATTGTGACATTCATTCTGCTCAGGCCTGAAACACAGTCCACCGTTTCCTTTTATGTATAACAAGAGAAACATCTCTGCCCTTCGCAGGGTGTGTTTCCAGCCTGTGTCATTCAGCTGAAGGAGGCGATCATTGAGAATCATGGGTGAGTAACTTCGTACAGATACAGCACACCACGAAAGGAATGAATCGCACATGTTTTTGAAGTTTTACCGATCCGAAGACTACAGCTCTTCCCTGTTGTGACAGTTCAGTCCATGTTAGAACCTCACTAATGTGAGGTGGTTCCCTCGTTTTAAACAGTTTTGTTGCCCATATATCCAACCATTTGCTATAACTGCTTATCCTCTATGGATTTGTGTGGATCTGTGATTGAGACCTAAGAAAAACTGTGAGATTGCAGTCGAAAGATACATTAAATATGAATGGAATGCGAATATTACCTATTACATCATATATTACATATATGTAATATTTGTAATACTTAATATACATATATAGAAAGAAGAGTATCAATTACTTATAACCTATTACATATAATTATATGATTATATAGCATCATCAGCATTAATCAAGTAAAGCGAAGTACATCCTCCGCATTCCATGTTAAGCTCTCGTTCCGCAAATGCTTGTCTCCTTAATCTCCTGAGTGCCATTGTCCCCTTCAAACGCCTCTCTCCCCTGAAGTCCCCGCTCTCCGCTCTGTGCCGTAAAGCGCCTCGTTCCATCATAACTCAATGCCTCTCCGGCCTACTGCTCAAGCATGCGGCTCCACTCTCCTGAGCCCTGTGGCCTCGTGCCGCCGGACCGTGCAGTACCTTATACCACCACAGGGTGCGCCCTCATCAGACTGAGCCCTGTGGCCTCGTGCCGCCGGACCGTGCAGTACCTCATACCACCTCAGGGTGCGCCCTCATCAGACTGAGCCCTGTGGCCTCATGCCGCCGGACCGTGCAGTACCTCATACCACCACAGGGTGCGCCCTCATCAGACTGAGCCCTGTTACAGGTCGAGCACGCTGTGTCAGTCTAGTCAGCCGTGCTTTTCACGTCCTTATCGCCTTTTCTCCGTCTGCCTGTGCACCATTGACCTACTACACCCATCCACGTGCCTTTTTGTCCTCCCCCTACTTGCCCTGCATGTTATATTGATGCCCATAGAGTACAATGATTTTCAAACACCAATTAACACGGCACTGGATACCAGTGGCAGTTATAGACATACGTATTTGGGGCGTATCTCCTATGGCAAGAAATTCCACTGTCTGGTTTCTTGAAATTATTACTGTAACAGGCTCGCTTTGCCTCTAGGGGGCAGGAGCTAGTGACATCTGCAGAAATGCCTTTGGTGAAGGAGGTGACCACCACCTTGCGAGAATGGGGAAGCATCTGGAAACAGCTGTATGTTGTAAGTAACCAGGAAAGAATTATTTAGTTTTAGTAACATGTAGCTGCATGAGAAGAGCGTAGCCTGTCGTTTATCGGTCGGTATGACCACTCACTCCTCATTTAGCTACTGAATGTGTTTCAATGACCAGGTCATTAAGCGTAATGGTCCCTAAGTGGAAATCACAGCAGCCCAGGCATGAGCGCAGCTCTGCCTACAGCTTCACTTCAGTCTGCCGTACTCAGTTTCTCTTATCTTTTATGAAGTGACATTTTTAACACCATTTTGTATGTTAAAGATCTCTAAAACTCCATGAAGTTTGGTCATAAACGGGCACATTGATCGGAAAATGGTTTTTTTTTTTAACATCGTATTTGGCAGGGGTTGCTAATCGAGGGACACCAGTCAAAAGTTTTTGCGCACAGAGATTTTCTACATTTGCATGTTACTCACTTAAGATTCATTAAAAATATACTTAATATTCTTTGCTAACAAATAAATTTACCATATGCTCACCATCTGAGTACCTTTATTAGCAAGAAAATGTTATATCTTTGATTCATCAAAGTAACCTTCTCAGGCAGTTATCAACAGAGAAAATTGAAGGATTTTTTCTGCAAGGGACATTAAATACTGCTCTCCTGGGAATGAACAGTTAACTAGTGCATCTAAAGTTAAAGGACAGCTTAGAATGTGACTCTGCCATCCCCCCACAACCAGTTAACAGGACGTCAGACATGTACTGTTACATACTCTTTCCATGTTATAAAGGAAACTTGTTTTATTTGACTTATATTTTCATTTATAGTTGTTCACTCTACTTTCCAATGCTTAACAAAAATATGAAGATCTGCAGTTTATGAAATAATGGAAAAGCAGTATAAATGTTTGACTGGAAGTGTAGCTGCTAAATGAGGAGGGGTTATATATATATCTAATGTGTAGACATTTGTTGCCTATTGGTTTCTCCTCCTCTTAATTTCTAAACCAATCCAAAGCAGCGTCTGTACTAATGACATCACACTGTCTCTTCCCCAGGCCAATCAGAAAGATCGCGTGAATCACGTACGCGGCTTAATGTGGGAGCTGATGGAGTGGCGTTCCCAGCTTCTGTCAGGCACTCTGCCAAGCGATGAATTCAAGGAGCTGAAACAGAAAGTCACCTCCAAAATCGACTATGGAAACAAGTACATAAATGCTCCAGCTTTTTCTCACTGTATCTGTCTCTCCTTATTCTCCAACCTTTCCTCCACTGTTCCTTCTTCAAGACCAAATTCATATCAGCATCTTTGGAAATATATAGCTGAAAAAGAGTCTCCCTTTGTATCACAGGAGAGCACAACAAAAACGAAATAATACTTACATATAGGAATGCACCGATCCCACTTTTTCTGTCCTGATACCGATACCTGGTCATTCATCATGGAAACTGATCATTCTTCTATGTGTAAGGCAACATCAGGTTTGCCTTAATGTTTTCCTAACTTTGTAAAACAAAATGTAACACATGTATTTATACACTAATACATTATATTGCCAAAGGTATTGGGACACCTGCCTTTCCACACACATAACATCCCGTTCTTAATATATAGGTTTTAATATGGAGTTGGCACACCCTTTGCAGCTATAACAGCTTCAACTCTTCTGTGAAGGCTGTCCACAAGGTTTAGGAGTGTGTTTATGGGAATATTTGACCCTTTGTCCACGAGAGAATTTGTGAGGTCAGGCACTGATGTTGGACAAGAAGGCCTGGCTCACAGTCTCCTTTCTGATTCATCCCAAAGGTGTTTTGTTGGGTTGAGGTCAGGGCTCTGTGCAGGCCAGTCAAGTTCCTCCACACCAGACTCGCTCATCCATGTCCTTATGGACTTTGCTTTGTGCACTGGTACAGAGTCATATTGGAACAGGAAGGGGCCGTCACCAAACTGTTCCCACAAAGTTAGGAGCATGAAATTGTCCAAAATGACTTTGAATGCTGCAGCATTAAGAGTTCCTTTCACTGGAACTAAGGGGCCAAGCCCAACCCCTGAAAAACAACCCCACACCATAATCCCCCCTCCACTAAAGGTTTACAGTTGCAGTCAGACAAGTATAGTTCTCCTGGCAACAGCTGACAGTGGAATATTTAGTAACGAGAACATTTTACAAATGGACTTATTGCATCCTATCACAGTACCATATTTGAATTCACTGAGCTCCTGAGAGTGACCGATTCTTTCACACATGTTTGTAGAAGCAGTCTGCATGCCTAGGTACTTGACTTTATACACCTGTGGCTATGGAAATGATTGGAACACCTGAATTTAATGTTTTGGAGGGGTGTCCCAATACTTTTGGCAATATAGTGTAAATATATAACAATACAGTATATTTAGCCTATATTTACAGTGGACACCGGTTATAGTGATCACATCTGTCTGGGTGAAATTGATCGCTATAAGCGGATGATCATTATAACCTTTTTTTTTTTCTTTGACTTTATGTCTCAGGCAGATTACGATCTAATTGTCATGAATTAATTTATTACATGAGTATGTGGTAATAAAGTTTGTTGTTGCGGTCTTTCTTCGCTAGCATTAGCAAACTCCATGTACTCTGCACTATTGTGTGTCTTTAGATGTTGCATCAAATTGCTTGTGTTAAATGACATGCTGTCCCTTCCTTCTCTTGACACTCTAGCAGAACAGACCTTACAGTGTGACAAAATGTCACAGCTTTGAATTTTAGGATAATGTTGCAACTAAGTGGTATCGGTTCTTGGTATCGGACAATATTTACGAGTACGAGTATGAGTATATAAGCAGAGTATCGCCCCAATACACGATGCCAGTATCGATATCGTTACATTCCTACTTACAAATATAAATGTTTGTTTCTGAGGAATTAAACAGTTTCCTTGATTCCAGGATTCTGGAATTGGACCTCGTTGTCCGGGATGAGAATGGGAATATAATAGAGCCGGACAAGGCCAACGTCATTAGCTTGTTCCACGCCCATGAAGAAGCCACTGCCAAAATCTCAGAACGCATTAAAGAGGACCAGGTGAGTTGGGCCCGGAGGAAGTCAAAGAATTTGATGTAAAAGAAATTGATGTTATGTCATAGCATCTGTTTCCCTACAAAATAAATTCCCTAGGAGATCATTCTGGATTCGGGGCTTTCAAAGGTGTTCGGACTAGCAATAAATGAACACACTAGTGGGCTCTCTCTTGATAAAATGAATGTATTGATGGGGTACAGCAGATAACTCTTCCCTGCATCGCTGAAGGCAACAAGCACTGTCTGCTTTCTATGTCTAGATTCATTATAACAGCAATGTTTCCCTCCTCCCGTAAGTCTAACGTTCAGGCAGATCATTCTGGGATATCGGCACGGATCCAGTCGTCTCCCACCCACAGTCTGTATGTGTTCGTCCGCAACTTTGTGTGCCGCATCGGGGAGGATTCTGAGCTATTCATGTCCCTGTACGATCCCAACAAGCAGGCCATCATCAGGTCAGGAGGAGTCACTGTCCGATACGTCTCTCTGTCTTTTCCCTATGTGCTGGTGGTGGATCTGGTTTTACACAGACAGCCTTAGAGTGACTTTGGTGGACAGGATCCCTGATATCTATCCCAAAGCATAGAAAATCCTTTAAATCTCGAGATAGGGGTCTGTTGTTTTACTCAACATTTCTTCCCGTTCCTGCATGTTTTGAAGCCTTACCCCTTCACAAGAATTCACATCAGCCTTCTTTCACAACCCATAAATAATAGTATTGTCATTGTACTATATGTATGTTACAGGAACATTATTTTAACACTGAACTTCTTGCTTTGTTTATCTCTTCAGTGAGAGCTATCTTGTGCGCTGGGGGAGTAAAGGATTCCCTCAGGATATTGATATGCTGAACAACTTGAAGGTGGTCTTTACTGTAAGTTATCAACAAGGGCCTGCATTCACCTAACAAACAAGTGAACTGTTCCCACTTGTTTGACAGTTACTCAGTCTTCTCTCACTGAATATGGCTTTCTTACGGTTATATGACACTGGCATCAAACTGTCCATGCCCTGTTTCACTTTATTTTACTGGCTCAAACAATATTATGGGGACTACTACCGAATGTAGATTGTTGAAGGATCGTTGAAACGCAAGCAGTGATAATATTAACAACGTATGGAGTACGGTTCCCCAATTCCGGTCCTGGAGGGCTAGTCCACAACACAGTTTGCAGATTTCCCTGCTCAGACCCACCTACTAAACCTGGTAGTTAGCCGATTATGATGAGTTTGAGCAGGGAAATCTGCAAACTGTATTATGCACTGGCCCCCCAGGACTGGAATTATGGAACCATGATGCAGAGAGCGAGAGTTCAGAGCTGAGAGACTGACATGTAAGGTGTGTTACACGCCATAGGATCTGGGGAACAAGGACCTGAACCGTGAGAAGATCTACCTGATCTGTCAGATCGTGAGAGTGGGACGCATGGACCTCAAGGAAGGCAACAAGAAGTGTACCCTAGGTCTGCGGAGGCCGTTCGGGGTGGCAGGTGCGTCCTCCTTCAGGGGTCCTCAGTTTAACAGAACTTCTTTCCTTGGCTCAGATGTATAAATAAATATTGTGTACCATAATCGCGTCCAGCTCTCCTTTGTGTTCCCCACTTATAAATTTTTTCTGCCCGTGTCTGCGTCCAGTGATGGACATCACCGACATCATTAAGGGGAAGATTGAGTGCGATGAAGAGAAGCAGTACTTCATCCCCTTCCATCCGTAAGGCTGACAGTTTCTTCTTCACTCTGCGTTATTCTTCTTTCATCCCTTCTCCCTCATTTCTCCGTCTGCCTCTTCACTTTCCTGTATCACTTTCTCATTTTCACTCATTTTTTTTTTCGCCCCCCCCCTTTTCCTCTGCCATCTATTCTCCACCTCATCCCCGTATGCCCCTTCCCTATAATCTGTTCCTCTCACTCTTTATCACCCCCCCCCCCCCGATCACCGAAATCTACCAAGGGGCACCTCCCCCCCTCTTCCCCCCCCCCATCTGCCCCCAGTCACTTCAAGGGCCTCCGTTAATTAATGAACAGGGGTAGGTAATGGGATTACCACAGTTGAGCTTCCCGTCTGTAATGCATTTCTAGCATGAAAAACGCATTTCGTTATATTTAATCAGTAGCTATTTGAACCCTGTCTCCATCTGTCTGCAGTATCATGGCGGAGAATGATTTTCTGCACTCCCTGCTCAACAAGGTGACAGCTTCACGTGGAGACAGTGGAGGTCAAGGTTGTCAGCTCTACTACGTCAATGCTAACAGCAGTTATAGAAATGTCTCTGGTTCTGAGCAGTGATATGTCTGGAGTACTGTACAGAAGTCTTAGGCAGTCTATGGCGATGATGATCTTCATTTTGGTGTAAAGCTGTAATATTGTCTGTCAAAGTGTGTCAACCTAGCCATTTCAAAACCTCTCCTAAAGTCGCCCCAGTGTTTACAGCAGCCGTGTAATAGCTGGTTGTGAATGTAACAATGGCTGAGGGGCCCTGAAGAGAGGTTTTGGGAACCAAAGTGGTGTTCATCTAGCTGTCTGACAAGATATCAGTATTTGTTTGTAGAACAGAAGATTTGGATTTGGATTTGAGTCAATGTGGGACCAAGACATTTTGTAAAAGGAACTTATTATTATCATTCCTAGGAGATCTTTCCTTGTTCCACTGATCCGGACCCACACCCTGAACCCTCACCACTAAGCATTGCTCTTGCTGTCTGTCCAGGGCTTTGGGTGACCATGAAGGCCCTGGTTGGGGACATGGTGCAGATTCGGAAGGAGTACCCGCACTTGGTGGACCGCAGCACCATGGTGGCCCGAAAGCTGGGCTTCCCCGAGATCATCATGCCCGGGGACGTCCGCAACGACATCTATCTGACGCTCTGCTGCGGGGACTTCGACAAGTACAACAAGACCACGCAGAAGAACGTGGAGGTCATCATGTGGGTGTGCGACGAGGAGGGGAAGGTGGTGCCGGTGAGTGGAGGAGACGAAAAGGCCGGAGGATGGCCAGCGTCCAAACCTGAGGGGAGGAGCTAACAGAGAAAGGGGAGGGGCTTCTGGAAAACAAACCCAGTGTTAATACATAACAGAGATACGGCAGAACTGGACCAAATGGTGGGAATGAGGTCCATAGGTGATGGCTTATACTGCACTACTGGTAATGCAATACATTCTCTTGCTTTACTGGAGTTTTACCGAACAACATATTTTTATTCATCTATAGAGTTGGCTATTTCAATAGTGGATTTTGGATTAAGTACCTTGCACAAGATACTGTGGCAGTGGATCTCAGTCTCCTTCAGTAGATGACCTTTAGCTTTCCCATAAAGCATCCCTCTACCCACAGGGACCAGCACATGTGAAATGACATGTCAGGCAACTGATTTGTTTCTGCTCTCATTCCACGTTTCATATCTTTTGACAGAAGATGATGCTGTGCGGGAATGGTTGATTTATTGCATAATTTGTTTATTTATTAAGGTTTAACAGCTTTTTTTCCTCATGCATCTCATAGCAAAACACTCACCAGACCAAGGCAGGGTGAAAAAAAATCAGCTAAAACACCAATAAGGGATATTTTAAAAAAGCTTGGCTAAAAATGTTCGTCACCACCAAAAATTATATAGTAAGATGATTGAACGTCGTTCAATGGTCTCCAGGTTTGATGGGCTAGTTGAACTAGTGAAAGCTGCATGAATCCAAAGTTCTCTACAAGATTATATTGTGGAAGTGCATTGATAGATCCTTTGTCGAGGTGGGGTACAGCCTTATTCTGTGACAGAAGTGTAAATCCACCCGAACACTCAGATATAGTCAGGATGCCCAAGGCAGTGTCCCTGCGTGCCATTCATATATCTTCTTTTGTCATACTGTTTCTGGGGAGCTCACTGACAGGCAGCTCAGATGGTATGAGATTCAGGACCGATGTTTGCTGGTTTAATTTTCCATGGGTGACTGCTATATTTCACACCCTGTAAACTCTATGTGGGATTAAAACCTCATCCATCAAGCGCAAAAGATGTCTCGCCTACCAGATCCTGAAGGGTTCTTCATCAACTCACCCACCCCCCCCCCTCCCATCCCCAAGAAGTGAGGTGATATGGGGCAAGGCATCCGTGCCTCCGTGGGCTCTGGGTCACCCAGTTCTCTTCTTGACTCTGTCCCAGAATTCCATCTGCCTAGGAGCGGGAGACCGGCCTGTAAGCGAATATAAATCTGTCATCTACTACCAGGTGAAGCAGCCACGCTGGATGGAGACCTTCAAGGTGAGAGAGACGCGAGAGCAGGAAGTCAAGGGCACTAGAGAGCAAATCTGATTGGAGAAATAATGAATGTTGCTGGTCCAGGGTCTAGATGAAATTAAGAAGCTTGAGAGACAAGAAAGGCAGATGGAGAAGGTGTTTGGGGTTTTTCCAGAAGGATGAAAGGACATTGCAGCAGATATTACAACATCACTACCGACACTCTCAGCATCTGGTGGTATCACAGATGGATGCTGGGTAGTTTTTGAAAAGGAGCGGGTGGGTCGTCACTATAAATTAATTGAAGCATTTCAGGTTTGCTTTTGCTTAAATGGATTGTTTATTCGAGAACTAATCCATTACAAGAAAAGTGGTCATGCTGTCAATTCTCAGGCAACGTGTTCACTTCTGCCGAACAATAATTGGACGCTTGTCCTCCTGTCCTTTCCAGCTCATTTCCTCAGGTGTTGGAATCATACAAGAGTAGAATGTCAAGTGTTTGTTGTTTCTGCTTTCTGAGTTTGTCGATTGTACCACAGCTGTCCGGGCCTGTTCCTCTCGGTTAAGAACGGGGACGCGTGTGTAATAAGTCTTCCCGCCGATCAGGTGGCCGTCCCCTTGGAGGACATGCAGAGGATACACCTGCGCTTCATGTTCCGCCATCGTTCCTCCCAGGAGTGTGAGTTTCCACTGGCTTCCCCATGTCCACATGGTTGTTTTTCCTGAACATAACACAAGCCGACCCTCAGCTAGGTGGTGTGAGGTTCAGCAGGTTAGGATGCCAAAATCCCAGGTTTGGCAGAATGTTTTCACCGTTCGGCTCTCAATCAAGGCCCTTAACCCTCAATTACTCCCCAGAATGTCTAACCCTGCTCAAAAATGCATGTCACGTTGCACAAAAGCGTCTATTAAATGTGTGCCAAGTAGCCTGCAAACATGGTTTTATTGCTCCATAGCGAAGGACAAAAGTGAGAAGAACTTTGCCATGGCGTTCGTGCGTCTGATGAAGGGTGACGGGACAGTGCTTCAGGATGGATTTCATGACCTTGTGGTCTTCAAGGTCAACTGTTAATGTTAACATTGCTTTCTGGTAGTGGGCTAATTCAAGCCAGCCCAAAAACAGTGAAAGTGAAGGGTTAGGGTTAGCCTGGACACTGTCTCTTTACAGGGGGACAGCAAGAAAATGGAAGATGTGTCCTCGTATCTGTCTCTGCCCTCCACGCGTACGCAAGGGGAGAGTCACAAGAGCGGGACGTTGATGCGGAACCCGAGCAGCGCTGGAGCACTATCTGTCAGCTCCAGGGACAGCTTCACCATATCTACGCTGGTCTGCTCCACCAAGCTCACGCAAAATGGTGAGCGAGTCCTTACCTGTACACCTGCCACTGCTCCGGGAACCTCGCAGGTGGCGTGTGGCTCTGTGAGTTAGGGCTGCGGTCCAGAGGTCTTTGAGCAAGACCCCTAACCCATCTGCTGACCCTCATTCTCAGCTGTATGTTGCATCTGATACATGTGCATGGTGTATTTGTGTTATAGCCTCTCCAGACTCATCATGCAGGGTGTGCATTTGCGGCCACTTTTGTATATATCTGTATATATATTTGTTTATGTTTTTTTGACCGTTGTTGCTTCTATATAGTCGGGCTGCTGGGACTTTTGAAATGGAGAACATGCCCAGAGCACCTGAAGGACAACTTGCTTAAGCTCAAGGTGATTGATGGAGAAGAAGTAGTGAAGGTGAGGGTAACAGCGGGAACCCGGGCCCCCCCCCCCCCCCCCCCCCCACTGTCTGCCTTCCAGAAATCTCTTCAGTTGTCTGTCAGTTTTCCTTCCCCTGTCAGCTGATCTGTGTACCTGCCCGTCTGTCGCGCTATCGATGGACAGAATGGACATCAACTGCTCGTTTGTCCTGCCACACAGACATGGCGGTCTTATGGCCATGCGTACTCGTTTAGCGTTGTCTCCATGCACATGGGCTCACTTCCTGCCTGCGATGTTTCCAGTTCCTGCAGGACACGCTGGATGCCCTCTTCAACATCATGATGGAGCACTCGCAGACAGACGACTACGACATCCTGGTGTTTGACGCCCTGGTGGGTGCCTCCTGCTCGCTCCGCTGCGTCGCGCAGCAGTGCCGCAGTCAGGGCGCGTGGTTAACGCCCATCCTGTGCTACCGACTGTCATCTGAAGGTTTTTCCGCTCCATCCGAGTCTGGGATGAGATGCTTATCTTCCGTCGTGTCATGTTATGAATTGCCTGAGAAAATTTAATTGTCAGAGACTGCTTGACTGGTATTAAAATTAAACAAATATGTTGTACTGAGAATTTCCACTTATATTACACGTCACATTCCATGTATTCAGTTGGTTGCCTAACTGTAATGTTGTTTATGTTTTATCACGTCATGCAGAGAAGTTTCAGTAATATTTACACGACTGCCCTCACATGTATGCATTAGCATATGCTACATGTTGGTGTAATTAATTCTTCCTCTTATACATAAATGTAATGTAATTTCACTTCTCCTTCTTCTAACAGATCTACATTATAGGCCTGATTGCTGACAGGAAGTTCCAGCACTTCAACACTGTACTGGAGGCTTACATCAAGCAACACTTCAGCGCAACGCTAGCCTATAAGTATGTGTCGTTATGCATTGTAGCAATATAGACATCTGTATGTCAATCACCCATTTCATACCTCTACATGTATGGATGCGTCCGAACCAAAATTATGCACTTTCAAAATTAAACCAGCAGGTGGCAGTCAAAATGACGAAAAGACTGGCTGACAAGTACTATATTTGGCTTTATATTTCAGTAAGGATATAGAGGTTAATGGAATTATCAAGTGTCATCACAGAGTCTTATTTATAAATCTCTGTTTACATTGCTTTGGCTCTCTTGCTCTCAGTCTGCCTTTGAAAAAAAAACCATTGCAAGAGACTGTAGGTTCAGCTTAAACAAAGACCAGAAAATTTAGCGAGACAAAACAGTAGCCTATTATGTAAGTATCCCTGTGAATTTAAGGTCAGTCGTGTGGCTGATCATTATCATTTTAAAATCCACTGTATTTATATCCAAGCTCTCATAAAAAATGAGGACATCGACAGAGATTACACTGCTTACGTCCTTATCTGCCGCAGCTTTCAAATACTGCAGCCCATTAATGGTTCCGTGCCATTATTCACTAAATCAAATGGTCTGTCAAGTGCTGTTTACCTTATTCTACCATTTATGAGGGAACTTAAAAATTGTAAACAAGCTGTAGCAATTCACAAAAGGTAAAGCTGTAAACAGATTGAGTAGAAGCATCAGAAATGCATAAAAACTGTGTACAGACACTTAACGACCTAACGACCGCAAGGAACTTACGACCAGCCCACTGACCAGTGGCTGTTGTGTGCCGTACCAGAACTTTGGTCGTGGAAACGGCAGCACGGCATCTCAGAGTCAAGCATCTTGCATCACCCTTTCTCAGTCTCAGTCTCGTTCCCACAGTCGCTCAGTATTCACTACACTAGCGTTTGCAATCTCCAAGAATACATATTTCGCCTATTAATTTTACTTTTTTGTGCACCCCATGGTATAAGATGTAAAACCTATTACCAGTACAGTATGCTTGAAATATCAGTAAGGGGCGGCTCTTTACTAATCGACCAATTTGCTTAATGACTTAGTTGGAGGAACGGAACTCGGTCGTTAGGTGAGGAGAGTCTGTGTATTAAAAAAAAACAGCAATCCAGGTTAATGTGCCGCAGGTTAATTGCAGGCCTATGGGCTATGAAGCATTAAATGTTAACAGTGCATGTGTTAGCTGTGAATACACTATACATTACTACAGATTATAGGCCAAACCACCCAATAACAAACACTGGAGGCTGGACCTCTTTCCTCCAAGTGTCCCTACAGTAACGTGGAGCTTTAATCTAGCTCATTAATCTGAGGTCTCCAGGATCTATACAGCAACGCTAAATTCTGCTGAAGTGCAGATTTCCACAGAGGTACAAAATAAACCCGACGTCCTATTGACAACCCGATGCTCCTCAGAGATGCACCTTCCAGAGTCGCAAATCCTAAAGTAAATTATAGTTCGTCACCAGTAATCTTCTCTTCTGGGTGTCTGACTTGATAATTGTCCCTGTGTCACTCCTTGTTGGTGCTCAGGCTTGAACTCTTCATGTCGCCTGTCTCTCTCTCTCTCTCTCTCTCTCTCTCTCTCAGGAAGCTGATGTCGGTGCTGAAGAAGTACCTGGACGTGTCCAGCCGTGGGGAACAGTGCGAGCCGATCGTGCGCACTCTCAAGGCCCTGGAGTACATCTTTAAGTTCATCGTGCGCTCCCGCATGCTCTATTCTCAGTGAGTGCGGTCCATCCCGGGGCTGGGCGTATAGAACAATGGCTGACGATGGAACAATGAATCATGCCAAACATGTGGACCAGTGCAGCCTTTGGCTGAGAGCTGGGTCCACGGGGTCAGGGCCAGGAGACCAACCACCATGTGAGCTAGGCAACATTATGTACTAGCCTGACATTGTAATTACCTTTTCTTGAACCTGTGTAGTTCAGAAAAAGATAAGGAGGTTGTGTGACTTTGTGACTGTGTTTGTGCTTTTTTCCATGTTACTGTTTTGCATGACTCCTTGAATATCTCCACTTAAGAAACACCTTTCTCAATTTTTGTGGTAATATACATCCCTGCCATATCTGACATACCCACAAAGCCGGACTTATGCTCTGGCTAACCTGAGCTGTAGCCCAGGGCCCCAAGTTGCATCCCCCCCCCCCCCCAAATTTTTTTGGTTATTACAGTAGCATTTTATGCTGTAGGTCGGTCCCCAACAATGACTTTAGCCCAGGGGCCTCCATCCCCCTAAATTCCGTCCTGGACACCCAATATCGAACCCAGAACCAGATTATTATGGTGCTGCTTCCTCCAATAAGCAGGAATGATTCATCCCCTCGTTAATTAAGACGGATTAACGCCCAGATGAATAGTACAGAGCTGCAGATGTTAACAATAAACACCCTCAGTGATAATGCGGAATTTGATTGAGACAGATTCTAACAGTCTGCTTTCATCCTGATCGAGATGCCCGACGTGCTATTTTCATGTTGCTGTGCTTCCAGCATTTTTGAGGAACACCCTCTTTCCAAGAAGCAGAACCTTTTAGCGAGGCAGAGCGAGCCCAGTCATATCGAGCGACTACTCCAACCATCTCTTTATCTGGCTCTTCTATATGACTCAGTTATTGAGTTTCAGATGGGCTGTGGCACAAAGGTATAATATACCTGAATAGCTAGAGAAAAAATGTTAGTGCTTAGCACGAGGCAGCGAATGATGTGGCGAATGGCCGTCTGAGGCTAAGCAAGCATAATGAACAGGCTTGGTGTGGTCTAGTAAGCAAAGGCTGCAAGAGAAACTGGGAATCAGACAACACCAGAAATGATAACATCTGGACTGTACCCGGGCTCGGGAAACACTGGACATCATAATATCTGAAGTATACTAGCAGTAAGGGCAACATTAGAGTGTACAACAATTGGAATACTAGCAATAAGGGCAACAGTAGACTGTACGGAAATTGGTATATTAGCAATAAGGGCAACATTAGAGTGTACAACAATTGGGATACTAGCAATAAGGGCAACAGTAGACTGTACGGAAATTGGTATATTAGCAATATGGGCAACATTAGAGTGTACAACAATTGGAATACTAGCAATAAGGGCAACAGTAGACTGTACGGAAATTGGTATACTAGTGATAAGGGCAACATTAGAGCAACAATTGAAGTAGGGCAAGTGTTTAAGGCTACCCCAAGAATGAGGCCCGTATTAAGAATTGGGGCTACATCAGGGATTTCAGCTAGAACTGGGATTTAAATATCAGAACTGAGCTATAGGCACTACGCAGAGTCATTAAGCCTGACATGTTGTTAGCTGCTGTCACAGTGAGATGGGGTGGTGCAGTGGGATAGGGGTTTGTGCCCAAATCTGGAAGGCTGTGAGTTCAAAACTTATGGCCAGTAAAATGATTAGCACTGCTGGGCCTTTGATCTCAATTGCTCCATGAATGCTGGCCGAGCCTGTTCTCTCTGATCCTTGCCTGTGAATCACTTTGGACAAAAGTGCTTGCTAAATACATAAATGTAAAGCCCAAATGTGGAAGAACAAAGGGAGAATAGAGGAATGTCTGACATTTTTCTTGTTCATACTCAGCTCGTCGTGTTTCGCCCTGGGAATGGCTTTCATAGGGATCTGAGTCTTTTGCATCGTAAGCCACTTGTTTCCTGCTGTTCTTCACGGTGCTTCACTTTCACGATGATGAATGCCATCCTGAGTAGCTGACTGTTTCAAAGGCCCGGATTTCCGTCAAGGCACAAGTCGTCACCTGTACCACTCTCTCCCGTAGACTCTACGAAGGCAAAGAGCAGACGGAGTTTGAAGTTTCCCTCAGACATCTCTTTGAGTCCATCAACCATCTGATGAAGAGCGACTACCCTACCTCTCTCCTACTGCAGGTCGGTATAAACACCTACACACATTCCAATGAAGATGACGCCTACACTCACTGAGCGCACAGAAACACCGGACCCCTCCCAGTTACTGTGCCAGACGACGAACATCTACCACTTTCCTCTGGAAAAGGAGTAAAAGCGAGCCGCACTCAAGCGATTGGCCCGGATCGGGGAGCAGGTGTGCCTCGAATGCATCATTTGGAGATGGTGCTTCTTAATGAGCGTAGGAGTCGGTGTGGATGCCGGCTCGTTAATACGCCGATCTGTCAGAGGGGCACCCGCGGGATTAGGGAGAACAATGAGCACAGTAATCTCTGGGTATGTGTGGAGAGCCCCGGAAGCGGCACACGAAGGAAGGCCGCCGCGGCGCTGTAAGCGGAGCCGTGTAATCCCCTGATCTCTGAGGCAGCCTGCCTGCGCGGCTCAGTCCCCCACTCTGCCGGCTGCACTTGTGACCTGTCTGCGCACTGAGATGGTGTTCTGTGCTTAGTATCTGTGATAGAAAATGTGAAGCTGGCCAAGTGCAGGCTGCAGTTCCCTAAAGGACCCATAGATAGATAGATAGATAGATAAATAGATAGATAGATAGATAGATAGATAGATAGATGGATGGATGGATGGATGGATAGAGACAGACAGTTGAGTATGAAGACTCAAAGTCAAGTAGTACTTAATTGGCTGGCTGAAACAAAATCTTGGTCTGGATTTCTACTTTTGGGATCTGAACTATCCACCTCTGATACCAAGCAAATTGCAGGTTTAGAGTGCCACAATACACACATTTACACATTAATGATAGAGTGCCATTAATGTGTGCCGTGACACGTTACTCCAATGATCATCATCAAAATGCCACAGTGGCCCTTCTGTTGCTTTGTACTACAACGGGATAACCTTCATTCGCATCTCACAGCTATGAGTCTTGGCTGCCCAAGAGCCTGTCGGCGGTTCGTGGTTTTTCCCTCCACAGATCACTCTCAGTCGGTACACACCATGGCTCACTGTGAGCTCCCCGCAAGCCGAGCCATTTTGGAGATGCTTTCATGATAATGATTTGGCAGAGGTGGCAATTTCAGGTCAAGAAATAAAAATCCAGACCATGATTTACTTTCAACCAATCAGTTGAGCATAAAGAGTCACAGTCACAGAGTACTCAACTGGTTGGTTGAAAGTAAATCATGGTCTGGATTTTTACTTTCTGGACCTGACATTGTCACCTCTGTGATTTGGCGCTTGTCAGACTCAGACTCAGATCTTTATGTCGACTATGAGTATGGAATGTTAGCTTACAGTCTAGACAATGACAAGCATTGTTTTTACGAGATAGTCAACATTATTTGTATCACATGGGGGTGGTCATAGTGTTTTTTTTTCATCAGTATGTACTGGGACTGTACAGAGAGCTGGAGTCTGTCTCTAAAGCTGGAAGTTGTGTTCAGAAGACAGCCATTTTGGAGGGGAATCTAAGTGGAACGAATTGGCGCAGTTTTCCGCTTGGTATCCTGTCCAGCTGAAGGATGAACTTGTTGTCTGGTACAGTTCTGTTCCAGTGCAGCTCCAGTTTCTGTTTGCTGTCTGGTCCAAGCCTGTGCATTGGTCACAGTCCTGTTAACATCTGCCTTCTGTCTTGTTGGTAGATGTGAGGAAAAACCTGCGTTTCATATTTTACGCTCAGCATGCATGGGCGGCTTGGGATGCAGACATTATTACTGGCTTCTGAAAGCTTGAATTCTGTATAACAGCAGCTGGGTTAGAGCTGTTTCTACCCGTCTGTCCAGGTGGCGGCTCTCAAGTACGTGCCCAGTGTCCTGCACGACGTGGAGATGGTGTTCGATGCCAAACTGCTTAGGTGAGCATTTCCGTCATTCAGGTAGGGAGGTAAAGTTCCTATTTGCATGAATTCACCCATGTACCTCAGACTACACTTCTAGCAATAAAAATTTTATATCTGTGAATAAGGATATGCTGCAGTGCTGATAAAAACCGAATCCTCCAGTCAGTCTTACATAGCCCATTCCTCGGTCTAGCATCTCATTATTTTGATATTACTGGATTGTGTTATCAGATCCCATCTCATAGGATCTTTCCAGCGAACTGAATGTCAGAGACATTTTCAAACCTCCCAGAAACGACTTGGTGAATTTCTTGTCAGGATCTTGTACAGAGCCTCCCCTCGGCCGGTATCTACACATCGTCGAGTCAGATAACGACGCTCGCACCAAACGGCCGCACCATTAATGAGCGCGTGTCGAGATGCTACATTTCAGGCACGGCTGTGAAACAGACACTGCCTTTTTTCCACATCTGACACAGTGCCGAGTGCTTTTCGTGGTGGCCTTTGAAGCTTCCTGTGACTGGAACATCCTCTTTGGGTGTCATGCTAGGCAAGCAGTGGAATTCACGATAATGCCCCCCTTGCCTTTATACTAGCACATCAGACGTATCTCTTCACCCCAGCTTCAGTGGGCCCTAGTCATGATACACAGGCTGCATTAATAGCAGATTAACTCCAAGTGCAGGATCAGCGTTCAGGACCAGCTCTTAACCATGACTAGCTGTAGCTTAATGATTCCGCTCACAAAGGAATTGGTCTCTTGGCCATAATGTTTCTTCAGGCTAAAACACAGCCTGCAAAAAGACAGTGTTTATTTGTAATACAAAGCCAGCAAAGAACAGATTGTGGGATTCTTTGTCCTTGTGAAATGGGGTCACGAGCTGAGGCCGCAGAGCACAGTGAGCTTGCACATTTGTTTGTGAGCCAGCCTCACCTCTTACTTACCGAGCACGATCAATCTTACCTGTATCCCGTCATTTTCTATAACTTCCCATTAGGGTCACGTAAAACTGGAACCTATCCCGGGAGATCTCGAGCAAGAAGCAGGTTACGATGTGAAAAGGGGGGCCGGCCCCTCGGGGCTGCAAAGCACACGTTTACCAACATGTTTGTGCACCAAGGCTAACTGAGAATCTCCAGTTTCCTGGTTTGGCTTTGGGTTGCAGGAGGAACTTGGCGCAACCAGAGAAATGCCATGGAAGCGGGGGGGAGGGGAGGGGGGGAAATGTGCAGAATCGGCACAAACAGGACCGTTTCCAAATTTATACCTCCAACCCTGAAGCATTATCTTGAAAATGTTAAGTGCTGAGCTCGACCAACTGCACATCTTTGTGTGCTACTCCTTAAAAATATTATATATGACCATGCCATGGACTTCTCAAGGCTGGGTATATGTGTGATCCAAGGACGCAAATCCAGCTCCTCTTCCTGATGGTTTAGACTGCATTTTAATTGCCATCCGATTTGCGGCTGAAACTCCAGGTGAGCTGACCCAATATGATCGCTTCAATAACACAAATAAGGTCTCAGCTGAAGCCAAACCGTCATGCTCTGCTGCTGGAAGCTCGCAGTGTAAATAATACATATAATTAGCCGCTATTTGCTCCATTTAGGCTAAGGTAATGAGCTGGAATGAAACAGGATTGCGTGCCCATGTCAGTTTGTGAAGGCTATCCACATTCGCATCTATAATTACCTACCTTGTGAGGTGGTGTGTAGCTCATTAGGTTAGGATTAGGTGTGATTGCGGGGTTGCGGGTTCGAATCCTGTGGCTGGTAGTCTGATGCTGCCGTTGGGCCTTTGAGCATGCCCCTTGACCCCAACTCCTTGCTGATGCTGTACTGTGCGGTGGTTCCCCCCCCCCCCAAACTCTCATCTGTCTGCCTCATGGTGAGAAGGAGAACATGAGCTCATGCATGGTGCCTGAATGGGGATACCTTCTTCTTGGGAACTAATTTAAAAAAAATCACTGTTCTGCTGTGTAAAAGACTGCATTTCTAAACAATACGGGGCTCTACGTGTGACAGGCACACACGTGTGAGTTTGGCATGAACAGCGATGGTGCGCTGAACTGCGGCGAGTGTTGCGCCGCGTTCTCCGGAGTGCTCATTGATCTTCAAAGGAATTATTGCAAGTGATGTTTTATGCTGCTTTTTTTCATCCTGGGAGCACAAGTAGTTCACATATATAACCTGGGGGCATTTCTATATGAGAGAAGCTAGTTAATCCCCCCTCACACACACACACACACACACACACACACACACACACACATACACCCTGTTTTCAGAGACCCACAGAGGATTCTGGGAAATGCCATGCAGCGAGCTCTGCTGAGTACTGCAGAAGCCTGCAGATCTGAAGTGGCCAATAGCGGATTGGCCTACACTAGGTAATGTGAGCAGGTAGCCTGTGGCATTTTTACCCAGAGATCCATGTTCTGAGGTGTGTACATGGAATGGGCCACAAGGGCTGATTGTCTCCCAGAGTGCGTCTTCCTGTCACTCACCAATGCAGAACATATCATTGGCTAATGATAAAGTTGACTCATGCTCACACCACTGATAGTGAGTAACTGTTCATAAGGAGAGGCTATAGGGCAGGATGTGAGGAGCCAAGCCAGGGGGTAGGAGAATGGAGAGCAGGCAGCCTCAATAGATGCTCAATCATGGGAGATGCACGTTGTAAGTTTTACTTACACAAAAATGTTCTGAGGCCAGAATGAAAAAAAGATTTGTTCAGAGAGATAAGCAGATGATAGAGGAGGTGGGTCCAAGCAACTATAAGAGGCAGGACTAACCAATCAGATGTCTTGGTCCCACTTCCTCTAGTTGTTTGGACCCACCTCCTCTACAATGTGATTGGTTGTCTCTCTGATCCAATCATTTTTATTCTGCCCTCAGAACATTTTTGTGTAAGTAAAGCAAAAAGGCAGCCCTCTGTATGAATTATAATACCCCCTAAAATGCCCATGTGCACCTGTCTCACCCACACTCTCCCCAAGACACACTTCCTTGACATCAGAAGATTACCTTAATTGGCCTGAAAAACCCTGATATTGACTGAGTAGTGAGACCGAGAGGGCGGCTTAGCACAGTGTGACTAAAAGACAGGAAAGAATCTGCAAATGCCTACTGGTGCTAACAAACCAGCATTACTGTATATGTGCTGAAACTGCAGCATCACAGAGACAGCAGGGAGCTGGGAGGGAGCAAAAATGTGGACTGTCTGTGAGTCCCTGGGGCTCAAACTGGGAAACGCTGCTTTAAACAGTTTTAAATCCCATCTTAATAATAAAAAAACATAAGTTCTTTGATGTTACTGAAGACTGTTGGGCTTCAGCAGGCCACCCCAGAGACACATTTGTTAGTCTTATTTCATTTATTGAAGTATGGTGTTAATAAAAGGGTTTTATCTGAATATATGTCAGAGAACATAAGCTGATGCATGATGCCTGAATAGGGATTAGGGAAGGGCTGCTTCTCACCCAGGAGTTCAGTGTCAGAACCCTGCATGAACCCTGCATACTATTAACCTCCAGTTAAGCCCTTATCCTTTATTTCTGAAGCATTTTGTACAATTTGTCATTTATAGGCAGTCCCCAGTTTAAGAACGTCCAACTTACGGACAACTCATATTTATAAAACAGACTACCGTAAAACCTATTATACTGAAATTCAGGTTAAATACAATGGTTTGTAATAACGAACGCACGCACAACTTTGGATCTTGTTCGTAACCTGGGGACCGCCTCTCAGTGATTCCCTGCTTTCCTTCACCACCACAAGCAATTTGAATACGATGCCCTTTTCTATGATAGACTTGATGATTCTGATTTCTCCTTCACCTCCCCCCCCCCCCCCCCTGCCCCCCGCAGTCAGCTCCTGTATGACTTCTACACCTGCATTCCTCCAGACAAGTTACAGAAGCAGAAAGTGACCTCAATGACAGAGATCGTGGGCAGCAAACTTTTCCGGAAACAAGGTAAGGATTCAGGGTTTAATTTTAAAAAAAATATATATTTAAAAATATATTTTATATATTTTTTTATTCAAAACTACCGTGCTTCTCTTCATACATTAAAACCCAATGTGTAAAGTAGCATTTGACTTGACTAGTGGACAAAATTAGCATTAAAATAGCATTATGTGAGTCCAACAAGGAGGGTAATATTTCAGAGATTAAGTTAAAATGAATACTTTACCAGCACAGCTACCTCATTTGATTAATAAACAGCCTCTGGTCTCCACTTTCCATGATAAAATTTGATAAAAAAAAAATAAAAGACAACTGACATTTCAGCAGGGTGAATCGAAGCATTTCGGAGGCGACTGCATACAGGAGAAATAATAATGGATTAGGTTTGTCCTTCTGGAAAGAAGGGCCGGGTTTCCAGGATCTTATGGACGCTGTTACTGAACGGCGACCCATTCATCAAACCCGCATCTCCAGCGCCACCTGCGGATGCTGCAGGACTCAGAAACAGGGCTCAGTAATTGGCCAGGGCTCTGTTTGAGACGACAGCATGTCTGGCCTGGCGACAGCATGATTAGTCTTCGGCGCGGCGCATTAATAAAACACTTAACTGCCGCTGTCACTCAGCCCGGATCCCTCTCAGACGACAGCGAAGCACCGCGCTCCAGGTCCGTCCCACCCGGAGCGCTGGCACACACTCGTATTTCAATCTCATAAGTTCCTCTATATGATTTGCGCTGTTTGGCACAGCATAATTTACATTTTTAACTTGTCTGTGAAGCAGCTTTACAACAGACTTTCCATCCACTTGTACGAGAGATCTGTGGTGGTGCAGCAGTGATGCAGCAGACTTGTAGAGGTGCCAGTGTTTGGAAAGGGGGCGTTTTGGTACGTTTTGCCTGGTGGGTGGGGGAGGGGGTCCGCCTTGGTAAATTTTCCCAAATGAGAAAGGGGTGGGGGCTTGGAAGATTTTGAGTGATCATTAAAAATGGGGACTTAAGCCACTTGAGGCATGAATATAGGGGGCATTCCTGCAGTGCAGGCCTAGTAAAATCCTTTGCACATTGTCCACATCAGAGAAGCTAGCATATCCTAACGGGTAATGCTGTTGTCTCAGGTTGTGACCGTTCCAGGTTTCAATCTGCCCCCAGAGTGGCGTTTGCATGATGTCCCAGTCTTCCTGTGAATTCTCTACAGGCCACATTGCTTTTCGTCCCACAGGCCAAACTCTTGCAGTTTGGGGGAATAGTGGTTATCCTTATTGTACCTCTGTGACGATTGCCTTTCCATCCAGGTTGTATGCATGGATGGATGCAATTCGATATCTTTATTTTTCCGGCAGGCAATCGCAGCTCTTCGCACCCTTTTTCCTTTATGAATACTTTATTTTTACTTCAGTGGTTTTGGAGAAAGGCATCAGTATTAATAGAACATATGATTAACTAATAATAGGACAAATTAGGCTCGGCAAATGGATCGGAACAAATCCGGCATATGAACTACCCTCCATAGACACCTGCTGCAAGTAAGTGCCAAGCGAGAACAGACTTACGAATTTATTAACGTGTGATCTTGGTTGGCTCGTAGTTATGACATCATCTCACAGAGAGCAGTGCATGCAAATGTGCCGTGTGAGCTGGAGAAAGCGGATGCATCATTTTAGACACCACTTACATGGGAACAGTCTGCTCAGCTCGGGATCCTTGATTAATTATATGCCATGACATTGGGATTAAAATGGTGCCACATACAAAAAACACCCACATTCTCATATAAGAAATAAATGCTACCAAAAGCTGCCATCCTGGATTCTTTTCAGCCAGACAGCCCTCCTTGCTATGGCTCGGTTGGGTAAGCGCGTGTGTTTTTCCGGATGCTCGTTAAAACACTGCAATCTGCAGAGCAAATACTCAGGGTACAAGGCTTGTTCTTGACTGGGAGATGAACAGGAGAACAACAGGCCTCCTCTCGCAGCGGCACAGTGGTGAGCTCTTGTTCCCTTTTTGGAACATCGCTTGCGCCCACTTAACAAGGATCAACATTCTCTCTCATTTCCCTTCTGCGTCTCTGAGTTCTTCCTGTGCTGTGCCCCTAGCATTTTCCACTGCATCACTTTTTGAATTTACAGGGAGCTCTTTGCTGGGCTGCGTCAAGTTCTGCCACACTGTGATTGACTGTGCAGTACTGTGTCATACAGTGTTTCATGGATACATCGTGCCATTATTATGCGTTGTGCTGTGTTTCACCACGTTGAACTGTGTTTCACTGTGCTGTATTGTGTTGTACTGTACTATGTTTCACTGTGCTATATTGTTTTGTACTGTGTTTCACTGTGCTATATTGTGTTGTGCTGTATGTCACTGTTTTGTGTTGTGCTGTATTTCACTGTGTTGTGTTGTGCTATATTTCACTGTGTTGTACTGTGTTTCACTGTGTCGTCCACCGTACTTGATGGCTTTGTTGCACCGGGTACCTGATTATTTTGCTCTACCGTACATTTTATTCCTCCAATCAATTTCTTGGTAAAGGATCATTTTAATCCAGTGGTGGTTTAAATCACCTGATAGAGATCAACTGCAAGATAAAATTCTTGCCCCTGAATATACAAGACAAATTTACATTTATTTGGGCAATATATCGCGTGGCTTTCCTTAATGTCAGTATGCTCTATATTTGACTTTGACCCTGAATCAGTAGCACAGCAATTTACATATTAATTCCAAATTCTTTCGCTGCACTAAGCTGTCATGGCTGGGACACGGGGTGCTGTTGCAGTTCGTTGATGCTCTTCCTGACCATGGAGTCATGTGCCGTGGCTTTTGGCTGTGCTTTTGGTGGCCCTTGCTGTTCTGTGCTGTGCGTGTCTGGTTCAAAATATCCGCATCAAGCAGCAGTGGGCCGTCATAGGGCCGTGCCGGATTTCACCTCTATTAATTCCTTATGGCTGTTACTAGGGCAGGATGTGAATTCCTTTGTCCTCTGGCTATATTTCAGGTGCTAACAGAATGCTAACCCAAAAACCTGCAGACACTGTGGCCGTACATACATACATACTGTGGCATGACTTACTTTTTTTTGAAGGATACCTTATACGTAATAACTGATGAAGATGATATGTATATACATCCTCTCGCCAGGTTACGATGGGGTTACATTGCAATAAACATCGTAAAGTGAAAATATCGTAAGACAAAGATGCATTTTAATACAGTACATCTAACCTAACAAACATCATAGCCTAGCCTACCTTAAATATGCTTAAAACACTTACATGAGCCTACAGCTGGGCAAAATCATGAGCACAAAGCCTATTTTATATGGAATATCTCATGTAATTTATTGAATAATGTATTCAAAGTGAAAAACATTTACCCATTGTAAAGTCAAAATATTGTAACACAGGCCATTGTATCCCAGGAAGTGTCTGTATATATTTTACTTTTCCTGATATTGTTTTATAGCTCAGTAATCGATTATATAAATCATACATTTGGAAGTTAGCCTGAGTGCTGAATGTACCGCTCACTGTTCCTGCATGACCCCCCGCTGTGGTCCGCAGAATGCAGAGACATCCTCCTACCCATGATGCTCCGAGAACTGAACGCAACCCTGATGAGCAGGATGCAGGAGCAAGTCAAGGAGGGAGACGGGCGGCACAACAGCGTGGAGCTGCTCAGCAACATCCTGGAGGTGCTGAGCAGGACGGACGTGGTAAGTTAGGGGGGCACCTCCCTGTGGGGGGGTTTGCCCAGCGTGGCAGCAAGGATGCGCTGTGGCGAGGGGGCAAACTCACCCAGTGATGAAATAGTGAAATATTATACTAAATTATACTAAAATTCAAACCCCTGGCCATAGTCGAAGAATACTACAGTACCCACCATGGAGCTATACAATCAAAGACTACACAGAGTATTACTTAACAGAAATACTGTCCATGCTAGCATTAATCTCAAGTGTAACAGTGATACGAGCTCTGTGTTTAGCCACTGGGCTTAGCCTGTCCGCTATCGTAAACTTCTATAGCCTATAATCCTAAGCGAAGGACGGCTTGCGAAGTACATTATTCACTTGGTACAGAAAAACGGGGTTCAATCCTAGTAATACAGGATAATATTCTGGACCGCAATGAGAGAACCAATGAAGTATAAGAAAAAGAGGTCGCACTTTGCTCCAATATGATTTTATTAGAAATCCTCACCCACCACAGACGCGTTTCGGTGTATGACCATGTCTGCACATAGTGGCACGCTGAGGCAGGCATTACGCCAAAGAGCGTCTGTCTGGGGTGAAGATTTCTAATAAAATCATCCTGAAGCAAAGTCCGACCTCTTTTTTTTAAAAAAACATTGTCAACTTAACATCTGCAGCAGAACACAAAAGCCATGTTACTAATGCATCCCACCAGGGAGGACTAGCAATGTTGAGAAGTGGCTCCAATATGATATTTTGCCACTGGGGGGAGGGGCAGGGATTAGCAAGATAGCATGTCAGGGCTCACTTAGAGCACCCACATGACAACCCATTCAGCCGTTTCTCTTATCGGAGACTTGATCCCGGGTATCCAATTAGATTCACTGGTCTAACGTTTATGTCGGGCTAAATCTTGATCTACTGTTAAATGAATAGGAAATTGGCTTGTCTCACTGGTTCCGCTGATAAAGTAATACAACTAGCTGTTAGCTCAAGGCACCTCATGCCCAAATGGTATGACGAATGTGGGACATGCTAAGTAAGAGAAAAATCTATAGGCAGTTCGCTGAGTTTCAAATCATTGTCATCATCACATTCTCAGCCAATATGCACACTATACCCTGCATGTACTGGGCCCGCTCCAGTTCCTGGAGCAAGAGAGAAATTTGTATTTTAAGAGAGACAATTTGTGTCTTATGTCTTGAAGAGCAGTGCACCGCTAGCAATGTTAAATAAATAACCCATCTATCAGTCTATCCCCTCTCTGCATATTGCATTGAATCCTCCAACTGGGTTGTCCTTGGGTTACCATGTACATGACTCAGGTCTAAAGATTTTTCAGCAACATCGCTTTCTTATATCTTATTTTCCCCTCTGCTCGTCGCCTTGCCTGCTGTTCTGTAATATTTTCAGCAGAGGATCGATTCCTCAGATTCACATCCTGCTGCACTGCCAAAAACAAAAGTCTGTCAACACTCGCCTACTACACCGACAAGTCAGGCTAATATTATTATCTCTCTCCCTCTCACACCCATACACAAACTGAGAGAGTGGTCCACGGTAGGGAAATACTGTAACGTTTATAATATGAGGACATTCCCAAGTAGCAGACGGAGAGAGAGATGTGCCTTATGCTTGGTGTATCCCTCATAAATCACATCTGCACGTGTGACATACATTTGAGTCTGACAAATTAAACCGAACGGATGAGGCAGCACGGTAAGAGCAAATGTGAATAAAGTAGACAGGAAAAGACCAATGATTTCTGACCTTTGTTTCCAGATTTGGAGAATGTCAAAGTGGCTTAACTCAGTGTTGAGAATGGACTGTGAGTCACACACACTTGCATGTACAGACATTCCCTCAAAGAGGTGTTTGCTCAGGCTCACAGATACACACACACAAAGGAGCATTCTGATACGTTCGAATTCTCGGGTCCAGAGCTTATGAAGTTCTGGTCATAGTAAATTCTTCCTAATGTCTTCCAGGGCAACACCTTCAAGCACATAGAAGATGTCGTGGCCACTCTTCTGAGACCCATCAACAGCACTGTGATCATCATGGGCCGAGAACATCCTCTCATTGTGAGTTTCTCAGCATCATTCTGTCTTTTCCTGTGCTGTTCATCCTGGGATCTGGTGAGCTGGTGAGATCTCCCCCTCCACTGACGCAACCAGCCTATCGAATGGGGCCGGGTTAAGAAAGGGGTGGAGTCAGACCAGAACAAGGCGGAGTCTGGTGTCTTCTGCTTTGTACACTTAGCAAGGACAAGTGATAGGAGTGGGATCCGGTGCACTCAGTGTGAGGTAAAAGGTGGATGAAAACTTATCTGCAACTGCAGAAAATATTTAAGTATGTTTAGAATATGATGAGCAGAGTCTAACTCAATAAACCGTTTGTCTCCTACAGCCTAGAGCACAAGCATAATATCTGACTCTGTGTTTGTGTGTGTTTGTGTGGGTGTATTTTTTTCCTATACATTTCGTACCCCTTGTTCAGAAAACTTTATTATGGGGGACCACTGCCTCCTCTCGACAAATTTAATCATGGGGGGGGGTTGATGCCCTGCTTTGCATAAGTGGGCCGGGCCCCCCCTATAGGTCAAGTCCTAGAATCCCCCCCCCCCCAGTCAGCATCCATGCCAATGTATGCACCTGAATGCTTGCACCTGTGCACATGCGTCTCGTCTCTGTGCCTGTATGCCTGTGCATGAATGCGTGCGTGCGTCTGGAATTAGAGGGAGGAAATGAGAAATGGAAATGAGAGCGATGGGCCTCCGAGGGACGCCCGCCCCGCACACCGGCGTCTGTCAAAGTTTTCAATTTCGAGCCGGATCTAGTGCAAGTGCCGCAAGAAGTGGTTTGCACTGAGGGGCCGTGTTTCCTCGCCCACGTTGCAGGTTCCCCCTCCCTCACACACACACACAACTGGAGAACCAATAAAATGCGAAAAAAGGCGAATAAATACATGACGGCTAATTGAAAATACACTTTATTTGCTTTCATAGATTTAGTGCTAACAAAGAACGGAGCAAGAACTGAGAGCAGATGAGGGATTGCAGGATGCAATCGTACTGGAGACAATTTAAAAAACTGGTTATGCAAATGCTTTATAAATATGGGATGGTTATATTGTTCTGCCTCTATATGTGTTTTAAGTGCTTGTATTATAATTGCTAGATATGTGTAGCCCTGTGGGACACAGCTAATACAACACCATACAAAATTTTAGATGGTCACGTATTTCTGAGTGGGACAGCTATTCACTTTCTTAACAACAAATGGGGGCCAGACCCCTTGTCCCTTCCTAAATCTACACCTATGCAAGTGAATTTCATTAGTTAGGGTGAGGAGTGAGTGAGGAGATCTAAGGAATGAAACGGAGTAAACGATAGATGTAGAGAGTGGGGGAGAGAAGGGAAAATGACAGAAAAGATAAGAGAATGATAGAGTTTGGGCACCTGACTGGAGGTACAGATTAGTAAGGGGTCAAATGTCTTTGACTGGAGGAGAGCAGTATAGGTATCATACCAATAAGAAAGCATATACTCACGTTTGACCTGCAGAAAAATAAGTGAACGTCTACATGGAAGCCGTGATTTCCTCGTAACTGGGGGCATAGAACCTGCCACCTTAACATGGGAGAGTGTAGGTCTTGTTTTGTTGCAGTTACTGGTGAGACTAAGTAAAAAAGACAGGCTGCATCTCTGTAATAAGGAGGCACCAATCAGGCGGACAGCCATCCCTCACCGGACCTCCGGACCTTCATGTTACTTTGGCCAGCAGCCTGCAAAGCAGCAACTACCTCTGCACCACCTTTATGGTCGGTAATCTGCAGAGCAGAGCTGTGTGTGTAATACCCCCTGTACCACCTTTATAATTGGCAGTCTGCATAGCAGCGGTTGTGTATGTGAGACCCTCTACACAACCTTTATAATAGGCAGTCTGCAGAGCAGCAGCTGCATCTAATACACTCTGCACCACATACAGTATATAATCGGCAGTCTGCAGAGCAGTAGCTGTGTGTGAAGCCCTCTGCACCAAGTTTATAATTGGCAGTCTATAGAGCAGCAGCTGCTGTGTGTGTGAGACCCTCTGCACCACCTTTATGATAGGCAGTCTGCAAGAAAGCAGCTGTGTGCAATGCCCTCTGCACCACCTTTATGATCGGCAGTCTGCAAAGCATCTGCTGTGTGTGTGAGTCCCTCTGCACCACCTTTATTATCGGCAGTCTGCAGAGCAGCGGCTGTGTGTGTAAGCCTCTCTGCACCACCTTTATTATCGGCAGTCTGCAGAGCAGCGGCTGTGTGTGTAAGCCTCTCTGCACCACCTTTATAACTGCCAGGCTATAGAGCATCTGCTGCATGTGTGACACCCTCTGTACCACCTTTGTGATCAGCAGTCGGCAGAGAAAGTAAACTCCGGTGCACACCTGACAACTGCAGCATGATTAGGATGCAGCACACAGACCTCCGCCTCCTCTCTATGTGACACCGTAATAGTTATTCAATGCAATCTCTTCAATACTCCATATATCACAAATGTCCATCACTCTCCTAGCAATGGAGGCTTGTGCCGTTCAAGGAAAGGAGATGGATTGTTCATTTCTCTGTGTGACCAGAAGGTTTAGTCTTGTCATGATTACGACTGACCAGAGACAGTCCCTCTTGTATCATGTAGCAGTATGGTGGGTGCGTGGAAGACAGCCGGGGACACCTGCAGGTCCTAGAGCACATTATCCTTGGACTCTTTCTGGAAAGCATGACGTGGGGCAAACCAATTGAACAGGAGATGTGCCGGAGGGGAATTCGGCAGAGAATCATCGGCAAAAGACTGCATTTCCATGACAGATATTGAAAGCCTCCCCCACAGCCACTGAAAGAACAGGCCAGTCAGGGTTTAGAGCCACCAAAAGCACTTCCTGCGCAGCTTCTTTACTTTGTTCTTGTAGCTGGTTATTGGAGGAACAGGAGGTTCTAGACTTGGAACGTCATACTCCCTCTCAAGGGATTCCAGAACGCCTTTGAAACGGTCTTCCTGCAGGCGAAATTCATGTTCCACGCTGTGGAAGAGCAGAGATGTGACATCATTCATTCATTCACGCATACGTTCGGCGTGTGATGTGTGTCAGCCTGTGTGGAAGTTTGTATGGATGCCTGTGTTGGTAACTCAGGCATCTGCAGGTTCACGAGGCTGTGTATATGTGCCGTGTGTTTGTCTGTGTCTGTACGGAACTGTGCCCGAATAGGAATGAAGTAGAAGAAGCTAAACGAATCATGTGTAGAGAATATTTTGTGGCGGAAATTGAGAAAACTGGGAGTTCAGTGTCCAGTGAAGTAGAAGTGCCTGCCGGATTATGGGTTTGAGACCCCGTCAGCATCCGAAAGAGACTTAATGACATCTTGAACTTGTCATCCAGACGACAGAATGCGAGAGAGACGGGATGAGTACACAGAATGAGATTAACAGAACATGAGGTGGGGAAATCAATGAAATGGGGAAAATTGCGGTTATGTAGATGAGAAGGAGCAACAATAGCGCCAGATGAATAAATCATCCACCAACAGAGAGCAAATCCCTTATTAATGCACAGAGACCCAGACAGCGTGAGAAAGAGGGCACATGCCAACCCTAAGCCTACAGGGAGGGGGACTATTAGTATTCTTTGGTATGAATGTGCGTTTGTCATCTCTGTCATCGTGGTACAGCCTCATTACTTACTATAGGGTCAGTCCTGCTAATGGTTGTGACTGGAGCTTGTACCTGATTAGCTCCAGCAGGTCCTAAAACTAATTGGGGACGATTCAGCCGTGAGAAGCGTGTTTAGGAGCGTCTGCTGTGTGTGCCTGGTCTGGTTTTTGTATGCAGCGAACCCTGCAGGCCACAAAGGGTGTTTGTGCATGCGTGTGTGTGTGTGTGTCTGTGTGTGTGCGTGCGTGTGTGTGTGTGTGCGTGTGTGTGTGTGTGTGCGTGCGTGTGTGTGTGTGTGTGTCCTAGCAGTAGATAGGCTTTTCAAGGTCTCCAGACTGGCTCAGCACATCGTCTCCTTCTGTCGATGTTCCACTTCATCTCCTCCGTGCACATTAATTCAAATTGACCAGACGAAATATCTCCGGACCGCCAGCATCAAACTCTCATTTTCTGCTGGAAAATAATTAAAGAACAGCCCCTTTGACAATTCAGCCTTCCCACACACATGCTAATATGGTGTATAATCTTTGCCTTTTGCTTTTGTTCCGTCTCAAGGTGCTTAATACAAAAAAATCTCCTTTTTATCTTGGTAAATTAGTAAGCAAAATATTGTCTCTTTTAATATCAAGAAATATGTTTGACAAATATATGTGCATATAAGTTTATATGCGACGGCGTGTCTGTGCTTGCAGGTGTGTGTGTGTGTGTGTGTGTGTGTGAGTATCATGCGGTAAACTGACATCCTGAATGAGTACATTTGAAATAATCTTTCTGGGAGCCAAATTGCTGAAAGCAGATGGAGAAGTATATAGAAAGTGACAGAGGAGAGAGGAAATGTGTAAAAGTCGGGAAAGACAAGAAGGAATGCAGAGAAGCAGAACGCGGGACAGGAAAGGAGAGGTAGCTTTGAGAAAGAAATTTCCACACAGTAATCTGTGTTGTGAAAGGGAAGGAATGCAGTGAATTATGATGCAAAGCAGACGTCTGCAGTCTGGATAACCATCAGGCAGAGAGCACAGGTAGTGGAGGTGGGGCATCACTGACATGCATGTTTGCAGATACCTGTAAATGATGCAGGCCATGGTCTGGCACGTGGAGCAGTTGTTCAGGTCTTGTCCAGTCCTGTAGGAACACCGACTGTCGCAAAAACAAGGTGACAGAAGCAGACTGAGGTGCCAGTAGTGAGGGGAGACATTTTCTTGCACATCTGCGCGCACAGACGCGCATGGAAATCATTGAAACGCAACACCCCCGCGCTCACATTCAAAAACGCAGCAAATAACGACCTTAATTACACAGTTCATGCGGTAATATTTACTGGGTTAGTTACATTACAATTTCTTCCTTTTAGTGAGGGGAACTTCACAGTGAAGGAAAGGATGTAAATAAGGGAGAGAGGAAGAAAACAGGATGGAGATGGAACAGAGGGGGAGTGGGAAGGAGGGAGACGGGGCCGGTGGGATGGGGAAGAGAGGGAGGCAAGGGGGAGAGAATGCTTTTTAGGCTTGCGGCTGAGATAGACGTAGAGAGAAAGCGGAAGAGAGAGTGAAGGAACGGAGAAGGAGTAGAATTCTCACTAAGATCAAGCTAAAAACAAGGACGAGCTGCACCGGGGGTGGGGGCTGCCGTTACCATGGGGACTGTGGAATGGAGGTGCCGTGGAGAGAAGTAGTTGTGGGTTTGTTGTGGGAGGTGTGTTCTGGGGAGGGTGAATGCAGGTGTGTCACATGACACCCAGCACAGCCGTTGCTTCCATCTAACAATGCATAGCCTCACACCTACGCTACTGCGGGTTATGGTCAGTCTCCTGACCGTTATCGGACCCGGAAACAATGTGAGATGTCACAACCCCGGGCACAGCATCCAGTTTAAACCTTCATGAGTAAATGAATGATTTAACTGCTGTTAAAATATACTGATCTTTGACCCTGCCCCTAGGTATTTCACAAAGACTTTCATTTACTTTGTGCATACATTATAATAAAATGTATCTTTAAGTAATGTATTGTAGTCTAAATTAAACACTGGAGAATAAAACTAGAGGCTACACATAGGCTGGCTTGTTGTCATATATTTTGGGCAGTTTGAAAACATTGTTAAAATGCAACTAGCATGTCATAAAAAAAGGTTACAGCAAGTTCAAATCTGCTGAGAAAATTATGTTTCAGTCATACTCTCATATTTATTTATTTATTTATTTATTATAGTTGTTTTTTTTATTTTTAAGTATCAGTTACACATTTCATTGATTACAGTGGCCTAAATTTGTGGGTTTCCCAAATGGCTGTTATGTAGGAAACACGCCATAGAGACAGTATGGGTTGGTTAAAAATATGAGAAAATATGAGTTCAGAACTATCCTTGTTTGTACACTGAAGTCCATCTGGTATGATTTGCGCTTTTTCCAAATTCATTCAATGCAATAAACCTTAATGTTTCACTGAGTAACTGATTTTCCAGATGTGGTCCAGTGAGTGACTAAGTGTCTGGTGGCATCCATATATAGTGAGAGTTAGACAAAAGATGAAGTGATGGAGTGTTTAGGAATGAGCACATGTATTCCCGCCTCTGTCGCTGTGTCTTTCGAGGAGTTACAGCTGTGCCCACTGAACGGTAAAACAACAAAAGAAAATGAACTGTGTAGTGAAATCAAAGCACCCTGAAAGAGGGTGATATACACCAAAGCTTTGATTGACGACACAACTATGTTTGTAGTTACGAAGACCATTTATATTGTTGGATGACCATGGTGCATTGACATTGCTGTTGCGACTTTTTTCAGACAGCTAGATGACATACCATAAAGAATATGTGGGCCCACGCACACTTTGCTTGGCCATCTTTGCCACCTACCCTTCACTTAGAGCCTTGTTTTTCTCAAGGTCCTGAATGACGTTGAGCAGGACCTTTATCTTCTCCTGGTTGTAGAGTAGATTCTCTTCCACGCTTTGCAGCCGACTGTGGAGCCCCCCGGAAATGCCGTTGCATTGTGGGATTGCCGGTGTTGACAGAGGAACGTGATGGTTGTGGGTATCTGGGAACAGCAGAGCTGGGTCCACTTGGTGGCTTGAAGCAATCGAAGGTTCTGCTGGAGCTTCTGAGTCAGGGGTTTTGTTTGGGGTGAATGGGGTTGTGGGTGTGGGGAGTGTGTATGTAGAAGGAAGAGGTGTACTAGGTTGCAAGTCAGTGGGATTCTGGGGGGCAGGGATGGCTTGCTTAAAGAGTGTGTGAGTGGGCGGAGCCTGTGTGGTAGATTGGGTTGTTGGTCTTTGTGATGGTGGGGTGGAACTAGATGGTTTTGGATATGTGTGTGTCGGGGAAGGTGGACTAGATGATTTGGGTGTTGGGTGTGTCAGGGGGACTCCCCCACTTGATTTCAGCAGGGCAGTCCTCCTACGGCAGGTTGGAGACATGCAGGTCGAGGCGGGGGTCTGCCGTCGGCCACACTTAGCGCACAGCCGGGGAGCGAGGGGGCAGGGCCGAGGACTGGCCTGCCAATCTTTTGTGCCCCGCCCCCTGTCCTGTTGTACGGGTGTACTAGGCACTGGCTCCACCCCTTCATCGGCATCAGAGATCACTCCACCGACTGCTTCTGATGCAACAATGCTACCGTTAGTGTACCGGGAGCTTCTATTGCATTTCAGCTGGCAGCTCGATGGTCCTCCTGATTGTGCAGCATTCACCTTGATCATCCGATGGCAGTAGACTCCACCTCCTCCATCTGCATTTACTGCACCTTGCGTGATGCTATTAGCTGTATTCTGTGAGGATTCCCTAGTGGCATCAACTTCTGACTCATGGGAAATCCTCAATAGTGAGGTCACCATAGCTTCTGTGACATCACCTCCACCTTGTTGGCTGGTGGTGTTCTCAGATTGGCCAAGGTGTTTCCTTTTCTTTAGGGAGGTCAGCGCTTGGAGTCCAGGGGATGTCTGCACCCCCACACTGCAAAGGGGGCCCCATTTCTGTGGCAACATCCCACCAACTTTTTCACTGCCCCCCATCTTCCAGCCCCGCCCCTCCGCCAGTGGTACACCTAACTCTGTCACTGGATTGGTGATGTCAGCTGCTCGTCTCCCCATGACCAGACACACTGGCTCAGCCCCCTGAGGAGCTCATATGAGAGAGGACGCTCTTGGCCATTTTGCACCTAGGCTCGTTAAGAGGTGAAATAAGATGAAGATTAGGGCTTGTGAATTAACGTTGAGAAAAAGTGGGCAGAACTTGTCTTGCAGTGATAATTTATGTGTCACTGTATTAAAGTGTGTGCTTGATTGAGCACCTGCCTGGTGATTGGATATTGGCTATTGGATGTGCCTGCCTAGTGACTGGATATTGGCTACTGGAGTTACCTGCCAGGTGATTGGATATTGGCTACTGGAGTTACCTGCCTGGTGATTGGATATTGGCTACTGGAGTTACCTGCCTGGTGGCTGGATATTATCTATTGGACATTGGAAAGAGGAAAAGGTGTCCAGGAAATGGTTGACCATCTGGGCAGCATCCTACAAAGACACAGACTGGTAGTTATAGTTTATAACATAAATATGGAAAAAGCCTTTTATTCATACCTTTTTTATTAAAAACCTCTTCAGCTCCTGGCCTTGAGTCACATTTTTTCATAGCTATATAGAAGTTTTATGCTGCACAGACACAGCCTGAGGATCAGCAGTAGGTTTTAACATTGCATGTCTGGACGGGATGATCGCAAGGCTTTCTTTTCAGTATTAAAAATGACAATTTACATTGGACGACTACAGCAAAAATTACCAGGCAGAAACTCATTATCACTGCTCCTGGTTGTATCAGTTTGGACACCCCTAACTCATCCTGGGCAGCTTCAAAGGCCATCAGTTTCATATTTGCACATTCTGCATCTTTTTTCCTGCCACACGATGTAATTTATCATTACAGACAGCTTGACGGCTGCAGTAATTTCACTGCTTCTTGTTTACATTCCATTTTGACAATTTGTGATTGATTAGTGATTGGTGTGTTTTCCCCTTAAGTTACACCTTGGTAATCTTAAAAATTAAATTAAACCATTTTGCTTGTATTTTGTGAAGAGAAATTCCTGCAATATACGGAAGGGCCATAGTCCAGAAAATAGCCTCTTGTAAGGACGAGATTTCAGACAGGAAATATCAGAAATATGTAATTGCATAAGAAATAGTCCAGATGCTGGGCATCGGATAAATATTATTTGGATCCAGGGGAGGCTGGGAATTGCCCTGGGGAAAGTCACTGATCAGGTGAAACAACAGAATGACCAGAATCAGCAGAAACTGAGGTGCAGACAGTCGATCCGTTTACAACAAAGCAGAGACACACTATTTGTGCAGGCGAGGTTAGTAAGGGTACAGTAAAGCATAGAGCAAGTATATCTTTTAAACGCAGTACTTCAGTATCAGTTCTGTGCAAAACATGGTAAGGGTACAAGAGATGTCTCCATTTAATAAGTATCATAATTTACAAATCTATAGGTGGGGGCCATTCGTATGATTTATACCTAACTGTCCCTCAGAGTCAACCTTCCAGTGGACGGGAGAATCTTAGTTTTTTTCCTGTGGTATGTATTGGTGCCTGTCTGGTGCTAAGCTTTAGTGTTAATTCAGTCTACATCATGGGGGGGGGGGCTTGTGTTGGTAATAATTTATGCAGGTGTGCTAATGGCTTCATTAGTTAGTGACAGCAAAAATGAATAAGTGGAGCAGGAGGCCGTGGAGCTGCGGGGGTGTAGTGGAGGATCTGTGCGTGTGCGTGTGCGTGCGTGTGTGCGCGTGTGTGTGTCTGTATGCGTGCTCCAGGTATTCATTACATTGTGGGGGACAAATATCTCCACAATGTGATGAAAATCAGCTATTCTGACGCTGTGGGGACATTTTGTTTGGCCCCCACATGGGGAAATTCAATTTTATAAGTATCTGTGACTGCAATCAAAAAACTAAAAGCGCCAAAAGTCTTGTATTTTGTTTGCTTACTTATGATTAAGGTTAGGGCTGGGTAGGGGTTATGGTGGTCATTTTTGGGATCCGGGGGGAGGCAGGTGAGAATGGCAGGGCCTGCATGCTTGTGTGTACATATGTGTGTTTCTGAGAGGTGAATGGAGGGGCTACAGTATATGTTTGTATCACCTGCCTCTGTCCCTCAGTTTAATTTGCAGAAGAGAGTGGCGTCAGCATTGTGTGTGGATGTTTAAACCCCCATTTAACATTAATACCCTTGACGACAGACCTTTTGATCATTCTGGCGAAGCGGGCAGCTTGTGTTAAAGTCTCCGTGTCTACATGCGGTCACCTGACCGCAGGAGTGTATGTGTGCGAGGGGGTTGGGGGGGATGGGGGGCGGGTTGAGGGGACTGCAGGCGCATGGGTCACAGCTGTACACCGTGCCGAGCATCACGACTGACGCTGTCATTTATATAACAACCTCAGTCCACTTTGCTCCACGCCATTAATCCAGATCCTGCCAAATGCAGGCCACTGCAATCCCTCTGCAGCTCGGTCTTGTCTGTCCCATAATCCTGCTTTGTGTTCTGCTCTGTAGAACAACAGGTGCATTGTAACCCCCCCCCCCAAAAAAAAAGAAATTAATTTATATATATATATATATATATATATATATATATATTAAAAAATGTATGAAACAAGAGCAATGCAAAAATAGGAAAGTAAAAAGCAGTTTTTAAAGAAATCAGTTTGTTCACCTGAATTTTACTGTTTTTCGGAACATGGGCAGTTCCCAGATGTCCCGGCAGGGGTCTTGCTCTAACCTCCTTAAAAAAGACATATAACCTGAATTTTGTCACTAAAATATACTCCAGAGCAAATGGGTAAAATTGTCCCTTCCGAGACAGACCTTAATCTAATCAAGAAACTAATTAAATAACAAATAAAATCATTTGCGATTATTTAACCGAACCACCATGTGTAACTGTCCCGACCCTGGCATTTAAGTGCCCAGCTAAAAGGCTTGGAACATAACATGTGTAACTGCCCTTCTCAGTAGAGTAGCATGGGGGAGCAGGGGGGCACCAAGAGGCCAGGACATCAGCGCACATCCCCCCCCCCGTAACAATTAATCACCACTTTTAACTGATTAAACTCCCAGATGTACAACCCCAGCTAAAGGGACAGATTGAGACCTAGGGTGAAATTCAGACAAGACAGGTTTGCTGTTCCACCCCCTGGCAGTAACATCATTTTGATGATATGGAGGCGGGAGAGGGACTTTTCAAGGTGATCTTTGTATTGTAAGGCGGAGCAGCAGTGACAGTACTACACTGCTCTAGCAACAGTGGTGCCCCTTCCAGTTTATAATGGGAAGACACAGGCTTTTTTAAGGATTGTGTCAATACGATGCATATTCCATCCACCTGACACTGAAATCCAGAGCAGCTATCACTGGTAACATATTTACATATTTACAGTTTATCCATCGGGGTATTTTTACAGAAGAAATTCAGGTTATGTGCCTTCCTGAAAGGTATAAAACTGGGCTCTCTTGAGAGACCAAAACCCGGAAACCATTTGGTAACAGGACCATTTTTTCACTGTCAGCTATTAGGAGACCAAAAGAAGGAAGGAAGACAAAAGTACAAAGTGCTGCAAAGATAACTAATAGAAAGTAAAGGCAAAGATAAGCTTTTAGCAGCTGAATCAAAGACTGTAATGTTGGTGCAAAGAGAAACGTAGCAGGTGTAACTTTTCCTTAGTAAATATCCCTTCCATAGTAACTTTCAATTACTGATTCAATGGCAGGAATATACACAAGCAGACTGGGGTTATTTACAAAGTAGCGGCATGTCAGTCACAGTATCACCACTTTATATTTCTCAATAGATTTATAACCCTCTTTTCCAGGTTTATTGATTTAACATTCTCTGTGTTCCCTCTGTTTCCCCCTTGGTCCAGTTTTGCCCAATATAACCAGATCACGATAAAAAAGATATCAGTTCAAATTGTGGTAGTGTTAAATTAATATCAGAACTGATACATTTCTCTGAATGGTTGGTGCTCATGCTGCCTGAGGATTCTGGCTTATGAGATATGTGTTAGCAGAGACATCTATGGCCTGCATTTGAGATTACTCATACAGAATAATGCATTAGCGATGCTTTTTCGTAGTATTTGTGTCTCCTTGAAAAGACTGTAGGGCTTGCACCATTTATTTGATTTATTTGTTTATGGAAAACGAAGTCCTCATTTTTTGTGGAAGCCCAATTTAAACATTCCCCTCAGCCCTTAAAGATCGCCGTTGGTCTCAAAGGACAATGATCTGTATACTGTGAAGTGAGGCGTACTTTTTAACCCTGAGTAGTTTACACCACAGCATAGCTGTTTAACAGAACACATTGTGGTGGGACATGCTGGTGTTTAATGGGGAATACCAGTGTGATGTACATTTGTTTAATGAGAAATACCATTGTGGCATGTTGGTGCTCAAAGAGAAATACTTCTGTGATATGTGGGTGTTTATTGGGAAAATGCCAGTGTGATGTGTAGGTGTTTAATGGGAAACACTACTGTGACGTGCAGATGTTTAATGGGAATCGCCAATGTGATATGCAGGTGTTTACCAAGAAATACCAGCATGTGCAGGTGTGTAAAGGGAAGCACCAGTGTGTTATGCAGGTTTTTCAGGGCAAACACCAGTGAGATGTGTATGTGTCTGATGAGAAACAGCACTGTGACATGCAGGCGTTTCACGGGAAACTTCAGTGTTATAGGCAGGTGTTTAATGGGCAACACCAGCACGATGTACAGGTGTGTAAAGGGAAATATCAAAGTAGGTGTTTAAAGGGGAACCCTAATAAGATGTGCAAGTGTTTAAAGGGAAACACCAGCAAGTTGTGCAGGTGTTTAATGGGAAACACCACTGTGACATACAGGTGTTTAACCAGAAACACCACTGTGATACAGATGTTTAACGGGAAGCTTCGCACACTCTGAACAGAGGCAAAATTTGTATCGCTTTTACTGGAAGTTTGAGACAATAGTGTCACCCAGAGTCACCATCCTGCCCAGTGTGGTATTGCAGTATTTAAATACAAAATAGTGTGACATATAGATGTATAATCAGAAATAATAATGAATGCATACAGATAGGTAGTTCATGTGCCGGTCTCTCACTTTATGTGTGTGTGTGTGTGTGTGGGTGAGCGTGTGTGTCTGTGTGTGTGTGTGTGTGCATGCTCTTAGCCAGGGCGTATAGTGTGTTAGCACAGGAGAGGACCTTGCCGGGTCAAACACTTTTCCAGGTGTCTGCGTCGGCGTCCAGGACAAAGGGTGCCAGAATAAGTCCCAGCAGCACACAGCACACTTAATGTTGCGCTATCGGGAGGTCCAGTGCTGGAACACTGTTCTTCACAAACGTGTCCCTTACACAATCTAAAACCTAACACCTCCTGGGGTTTTAACATCCCCCCGAAGAGTTCAGACCCTCAGTTTAGCTCTGTGCAGTTTGTTAAAGAAGCATGCAGAGGGCAAAACTGCCACACAGGGTTCTGTGGAACCTGCTGTAGTTAAAAATGTGCGGCTAAAACCCAGCACTGAATAAATATTTCAGAGAGAAATTACTTTTGCACAACAAATGCACAACTGACTGACTGACTCAGAGCACAGCTGTAATGGCTGTAATTCACTAAATACCATGAGCCATATAGACTCATAGAAACAACATCAATCATGCCATCCACATCACCATATGTACGCGCACACACACACACACACACACACATACACACACATAGGTTTGTAATTATATCTTTGTGGGGACTCTCCATTCATTTCTATGGGGAAAACCCTAATCTAATCAATGACAACTCCCAACATGATGACCTTAACCCCTACCCAGCCCTAACCATAACCATTTGCGAGATCTTTGTGGGGACCTGAAAAATGGTCCCCACAATGTAAAAAAAAAAAAAAAATGACATTGTGGTCCCCACAATGTAATATAAACCTAATCCACACACACACATATATACACATATATATACACACACACACACACACACACACACATGTTTGTATTCAAATCTTTGTGGGGACTCTCCATTCATTTCTATAGGAAAAACCCTAATTTAATCAATGACAACCTTAACCCATACCCAGCCCTAACCTTAACCATAAGTAACCAAACAAAATACAAGATTTTTGGCATTTTTAATTGTTTAATTGCAGTCACAGATGTTTTGTGAATTATTTTATATACTCTATAGCCCCTTTCACATATATCCATACACTCACAAAGACACGCACTATTCAAACTCATACAAGTTACGTTGACACCACCTCCACCATCCAGACTTACACACATACATGGGCATGCAGACATTCGACACACCATAAACTCACACACATCAAATCCTCACGCACAGCTTTAGATTTTAAGAAAAAAAGTCCCTCTCTCCCCCCTCCAAAGGACTGTCTGGAAATGAAGGCCAGCGCTGGGACATGTTTGTCTGGCAGTAGCTGACCATTCAGTCATTACATAGAACATTAATATGACGTCCAGGTTGTTCTTGCAGTGTTGTTGCCGTGACTTACCGCTACTCCATGGTTACGGCCAGGGTTCCAGCCATGTTGATAGCTGTGGAATGCCTCTTGATTCCACAGACTCCAGTTATAATCTCCAAATTTGCCCAGCTTTGGACTGCCCCACTGCTTGGTCCCGGCTCTTGGAGGACACCCTGGTCGAATCGTCCATCCACTGAGGCCAGTGAGCGCGCTGTCCTTCTGTCCTAGTGCTCACCTGGACCTTCTGGCTTTCTGTCGCACGGACACACTCACACACACACGGCCAGCCGGCACCCTCAATGGAACAAGTGTAGCTCAGGAGTG